AAACCCAGAGCTCATAAGCGGTCCGAATTCCCCTGGCTAAGCGAAAACGTCTCAAGACCCCACCACAAAACACCAAACTACAGAATAAAGGTTCAAAGAGTTTTGCATTTGTTGGGACAGCAGGTGAAATTTTTAGTTAAGACAGCTTTGGAAAGTTCTAACACCAAGAAAGAAATAAGAGAAGCAGCTCCCAAAATTCAAAGACTAACTGAACAACTAATGTAGGAGGTAGTTCATAATCTGCTAGATAAGGCCAGCGAGCATATGCATGACTGCATTTCTGACGGACATAAACTGGACTTACCAAGAAAACAAACCAGCGAAATAGGCAACAAAACAGATGAGATAGAACGATACACATAATGAACGCAAACGGAAGAGCCGTCCTCCGGTACTAAACTAACCAAGTTGGACGTTGACAGAGTTGTGTCAATCGCGATTGATTCACGTCACGATTCACATTCAAGTTACGACCGAATTCCGCTTATTCGTAACGATTCGATCACCTTGTTCGATCTCGCTGCCGCCCTGACCGATCTGAAGGACGACCGATCGACTGACCGTACCAAAACAATACGAATACGATAATTTGTAGATTCAAATGCATTACTGAGACAGGCCACGGAAAAGGAATGGGAGTATTATTATAATTATAGAATTGAGTTGCGACATCGATCGGTAGATTTGCTGATGTGTTCAGATTGAATGAAATATATATTTCCACACAGGTATTTAATTTAGACAAATTAATGTGTTACTCGTACAACCCAATACTTAGCACATATTTTGATAAAATCATGATGCAATAAAAAGCACAACACAACAATAATTTAAATTTAAATGAATCTGAATCGGTCGTTCGGAGTGTTTGGATTCAGTGACTATTGCCGCTTATGTTGGCAACAATTGTAAGACGCATATTTTTTTTATATAATTTTTGTGCGTACTACGCAATAAGCAATCACTAAGAGAGCCAGATGTTTTCTTAAAACCGTATTTCTTGCCCCCCGCTCTGTCAAAATATCGATTAGTAGAAGGGCGTCATTTTAAAATAAACATGGTTTTGGGGTTCAGTAACACTTTAAGAAATAAATATATTGCCGTTATTTCTCGGTTAACCGTGCATTCGCATGATTCGGGCTATTGTTTGCATTATGTGAAATTGTGAAGACTTAAATTTGTGTGGTCTCACTACTACAGTGGTTGAATTTCATGATGGTTTTGTTTCATTGGCCAGAGTGCCAAAGTACCAAATAATAATTTATTGATCGCTTTCATTTGAAATTTTACAAATATACCCAAGGAATTTGGTTTTGAACTGTTTTAAGCGTTGTTGCTTTGTTGGTTTGCGTGGCTACTGTCGCCTGTCTCTTCCCTTCAGTATGTTATGACCTGTTGTGTATTTCACTGCCGCGTGTTGCTGCCCTTCAGTGCCGGTGTGGTTATTTGCGACAGGATACTTCGTGTGTCTCTGCCCTTAGTATCCATCGCACGATCGGAATAATCAGCACTAGTGACTGAAATAGGTACTATGTGTGTTCCGCCCTTAGTACCAACCCAAACTCATTTGCAGATTTTATGCCATGACAAAATATATCTGTTATTTGTGTTTTCTGGTGGTATTAAGTAATATTAAGTTTATTTTATTGATCTTAATAATCTTTTGTGCTCAGGATATTTTTTTAGTTTCAGATGCGAACCGTGTCACCTCGCTGATGGCCTGATCACCTTTCGTTTTGACCAAAATACTTAATGATTATTCATTAAAAATAAATAAATATCTATATTGTACATTTTCAAATTAAAATTTTATTGTCATGTTTACCCTCTCTCACACAATAAGTATTGTAATGAACGATTGATTGGGTTCTCGTGAAATGAACGATTGACATACACTACGTTGAGATCAGGCCTAAACAGCGAGGAACTAAACAATCTCTTGGCAGCTGGTTTTTAGTGATCCGAGCGAATCACAGAACTCTGCACTTGCTCCAAAATTGGTCGGTCGGTAGTACAGATTAGAGATCTGGCGGAAATGAACAAGCTAAAACCAGAAAATGTGATTTGCGCACAAGCAAGAAGCAAAATACTACAGAACGAAGAGGAGGACGGAGGAGACACATCTAGTAGGCATAGATCTAAAAAAAGACGAAGGCGAAGCGCTATTAGAGCTGTGCAGGGGAAAAAAGAAGGTCAAGGACGTGGCTATTAAAAAGGGGAGAACACAATTCTCATGCTTAATCTAGCGATGGGCCAAAGCATATGTCGCAGAATCGCAAAGTGTGCACTTAGAAACAGTGAGGTGTCATTACCCTTACCGAAGCTGTAGTCATCGAAAAAATCTGCAAAATCTTACGCAGAACTACTGAGGAGCGTAAAGAGTGAAATTAATAAAAAAAAACTGAGAAAATCACAAAAGACGGCAACCTAGTCCTAACGATAGGCTGCAGACATAGCGGACGCCCTAATAAAAACCATCAGTGAAAGCGAGGCGAATACCATTCTGCTCGTGAAGAACTTTGACGCTATTACTACCAGCGAGGAGACTGTTAATTAAATTGAGACGTACCTAACCGCCCATGCCAGAATCAGGTCCCTCAGACCATCATATAAAGAAACACAAGAAGCCACAGTGTTTCTCACGAAAGAAGTGGCAGAGTGGTAAAAGAGCTAAAATCGTATCGTGTTTCCGATGCTGGAATATGGGACACGTGGCGAAAAACTGTCGCGGCCCAGATAGATCGAAAACGTGCATCAAACTTCGGAAAGGAAAGCCCAGTATATAGGAAAGCAGCAACAAAAACTACAGCGTAAATTTCCCTCCCAAAATGCTAGAAGTAAACTTGGGCAGAAGATATGCCGCCCACGATATGCTTCATGTGATACGACAGAAGGAGGTGGACGAGGAAAACCTGTCCGACCACAACTACATCTTCTTCAATATTGATGAGATCAGTAAAGAGGTAAAAGCGTAGACCTCCGAATACAAAAGCACGCCGGCTGGAACATAGAGGAAGCAAAAATGGAAAACTTTTTGCGTGCTCTGGGAAAAAAATAGAAAGCTAACTTTACCAGGACATCATCGCGAACGCCAACAGCAACACCTTTAAAATCAGAAAGGACTCAGGCGAAAAAAGAAACCTTCGTACTGCTGGATACTGCACTAAGAAAAAAGTGACTGAACAAAAAACATATCATGACCAGAAAAAAAAATCACGTAACGCTAGTCAAGAGGGAAAAAACGATGCTATAAAGCGGTAGAAAGAAAAGGGAGCATCCGTTAAAAAGGCAATCCAGGAAGCCAGGAAAAAAGGGTTTGGGCTATAAGATAGCGACAAAAACATTTTGCCTGAGACGCCCCTGCTTTTTTTCCCCAGGAAGAAAAAATTAAGTGGTCCCCAATAGAGGTAAACCAAAACGATATTCCTCTCTTCAATTTTCACAATAGAGGAAATTAAAGAAGCATCCAACAAATTAAAAACAAGAAGAGCTCCTGGAGCAAATCGAATTCCAGCCGAGATTATAAGGAAGGTGCATTGGAGAATTTCCAAAAATATGGAAAAGAGCAAAGCTTGTGCTTTTGGAAAAACAACAGAAACAAGTAAGAAGTAAACCTTCATATCGAAGGATATTTTGAGTAATTAATTAAAGAAAGACTCGACAGTAGACACTTGACGTGAAAATGCGTTTAACTCTGTACCGCGGCAGGGAATAATAAAAGTACTTAGGAAAAAAGCATAGCTCTGTACCTGATGCGCATGGTGACATGTTACCTCAAAAACAGAGAGCATCGATTCTCAGTCCCTTTCTCTGGAATGCATGCTAATACGAGGTAGTAAAACTAGATATGCCACGAAATGTTAAAATTATCGGATATGCGGACCTCGCTATCACAGGAATGCTTGTAACGATAACAAATACAGATGTATTGTTAGTTGACAGAAGAGTTAGTCAAACCGAATCACTATCGACGTCATGGACATTTCAATAGAGACGGAACCGCGATAAAATACCTGGGCTGGGACGTCGGGCACAGCTGTAATGAAATTAAAGCCTAAACTTGATGAAATAACCTCAGCTAAACAAAGACTGCTAAGCAGCGTGATCCACTCAATTATGCTACTTACTGCAACTTCCTGGTCAGGTATATTCAGCAAAAAACATTAAAGACTGCTTGTTAGACTATCATCAGGACATGATCGACAAGTGAACTTTTTGATAATTGGCTAAAAAATTCTCCTTAAAATATCCCACTAGGCAGCCTAATAGTATATGATAATGCTAGTTAGCATAACACTTTAGCTAAAAAGTACCAACGATCTGCAGCAAAAAAGAAGTATTGCAAGAGTTTCAACATGACTTATTTTGAAGATATTTGTATAAAAAAATAACTAAGTTTTAAGAACAGTAATATGCCCTTCAGATTACCACCTTATCACTGCAAATTTAATCGTATAGTAATAACCCAAAAGTCTCTGCCGATGTTGATGTAATTAAAACCCAGGGTGAATTAATACCAGACAGCAGTTGAAAGTTGGAGAGAATATGTTAATCAGGTACTTGAAGTGAAAAATGATTATACAATTTTACAATTAATTATATCCTTGCATGATAGGATAACACAAATTCAATACAATAGAATGTATTAATATATTTTGTGTTTTCAAATATAGATCAAGTAAATAAAAGATTACATCGAAGTGAGGATTATATGAATCTAAATTGCAACAAATGTAATTGTAAAATTATAAAAAAATGTACTGTTTACAATACAACTTTATTTCCGATTACTCAGATGAACTACAGTCGGTTGAGTCCACAGAAGTAATACACCCTTATTGCAGTATTTGTACCATGTTATCAACTTGTCGTTCTGTTGAGGTTCTGTGAGGTCGAAAAGTGCTTCCCCTCATATTAGGAGTAAGGGCTGAGGTTTGTAAATAAAACCATGGCATTCGAAATGCAGATCGTTTAAATTAAACAGATAGAAACAAAAAAACTAATAATAAAGTAATTATAATGAAAAACAAAACATATGCCAACTCCAGCATTAGTAACAAAAAACTAAGTATAATGACTAAATTACTTCGCGTTTCACATCAATTTGCATAAAGCACTGGATTGTTTCGAATGTCTGTTTGAGCAGCCGTTGTCGTGCTTCCGCCAGCGTGCTCCCGTAGGCTATGAGGACAAAAGTGGTGTCAATATTGATATCCAGTGAAACCATTGGCGGGTTCTCCTGAATTATCGATGTTTGGTATTCTAATTCCAGTTTTTCGAGAATCTGCCGAAGGTTTTCTTCCGAAACATCTTCGAAATACTGAAATTATACGTGGGTGAGAAATTGTAGCTATAGCGTCAGAGTTCTCGGTAATTTTGAAAGTTTACATCTTTCTGAAAGGTTTCAACCCCGCGGAGCGTTATATTAAAAAATAGCTAAAAAATTCGAACATTTTAAGTTATGGGTGTATAATTTAATAAATAAAGCTCATGGTTGAGGAATACAGGACACAAATGCTCGTAGCTGTTGCTGTCTGGTATTCCGCAAACATTGATCCGCTATTTTCGTGTAAAATACTGGAACTAAATTTACATTACATTAAGATTATCTATTTTGCATTTAATAATGCTTTGCCTTCTACAAAACTCCGGCTTCCACGTTACATTTTAAATATGATAATAGTACATTTGAATAACGAGTGCTTATTAAACGAATGACTTAAAAAGGTTATGAAATGGCATATTTTGAGAAAGTACTGAAATAAGAATGCCGACAATCCAAACTTCCTGATAATCTATCAGCGGCCATGTCAGTCGGTAGGGATTTCAAATCTCGCGGATGCGCACATTAAATGGTCCTTAAAATTTTCTTTATAATTACTCCATAAGTTCCTGTATTATCGGCATATCTTCAGTATTTTATATGGGTCAAGCGCTTACAGATAACAATGCATTGGTTACATTGGTATTTGGCAATTATCTAGAAAATATAAAACTAAGCCGAAATGATTGTTTCAAAGATTAGGGAGTTTTATTTCGTTTGCTGAACATACCAATCAAGCTGGTAACGGTGCTTTGAAAATGTTGTCGCGCTAAAATAATGTTACCGTCGCTGATTTGAGCAAGTTTTGGTTAGTTTGAGCAAGTTTTTATTATTATTATTACTAAGAATAAAATGCAGAGGAAAACCTATTATGCACATTGATAGTTAGTAACACAACACATATAATAAACATTTAGTTATTGCTGTGAAACAATGCACTGTCCAAGTGACGTTTAAATACAGACAAGTTCGACGCACAAACAACACCTGGGGGTAAACTGTTCCAATAATCGAAAGTCCTGTTACTTATAAAATACAGGCGATGTGAAGTCCTGAATTGTTCCTTCCTTATTTTAAATGGATGACCACGTAGGCGTTCATCATTGCTTAAGACTACAAGGGGCATGTCAGATGGAAATTGGTTATGCGCAAATCTATACATTTGAATGTATAGGTATACGCAGCCGACGCTGACTTAATGTTGGCAGATTAAGTATTTTGAGACGGTCATCGTAAGGTGTATGTCTAAGCTGAAGTGGCTAGCGCGTAGCGACTCGTTGCACTTTTTCCAGAACATCACAGTCACGCAATAGCCATGGGTTCCAGACTGGGGAAGCAAATTCCAGGATGGGGCGAATGTAAGTGGTGAAAAGCCTGCAAGCGATGCGAGGACTAGGATTTTTAGAAGTCTTTTTTGACAAAAATAACGCGCAGTTTGCTTTCTTTGCAATATTTGATACATGTGCAGACCACGCAAAATCGTTAGTTACTGTCACACATAGGTCCATCTGAGAAACGACACTTGACACAAAGTTTCCATCGATATAATAATTCAAACCGGGATTGTTCTTGCCAACATGCATCACAGAGTACTTTTGAGCATTCAGCGGCAATAGTCAAGTTGAACACCACTTGGAAATAGTATTCTAGTCTCTCTGCAATACGTCCGTATGTGTTGAAGGATTTCAAAATAATTTAGTGTCATCAGCATAAGGGCTCACATGCTGGAGAGCAAATTCACGGTGTACAGTAAGAATAGCACTGGTCCCAGCACCGATCCCTGGGGAACACCACTAGGCACGTTTTGTGTCAGTGAAAAAGCGTTACCAATGCGAACTCTGAACGACCGGTGGCTTAAGAACGCCGCTATCCACTCTAACAGTTTACCCCCTACTCCGACCTTTTCAAGTTTGAATAACAAGCGTCGATGTGGCACTTTGTCGAAGGCTTTGCTGAAATCGAGGTAAATAATATCCACCGGATCACCTGAGTCAAGAGATGATGTCCAGTGATTCAAGCATGTCAATGTATTTGATATGACAGACCTGCCGGGAACAAAGCCATGCTGCAATGTAGGTATAATATGGCAGTCGATCAAAAACGGTAGCAGCTGATTTACTATAAGGCGTTCAAGATCCTTACATATAATTCACACTAGGCTGATAGGGCGGTAATTTGAAACATCGAGCTTATCACCCTTTTTATAAATCGGTGTTACATTTGCGGATAACCAGTGGGTTGGGAGTGTGGCGCAGAGTCCAAAGATTTTCTCAAAATAATATAAATAGGCTCTGCAAGCACAGGGGCACTCGCTTTTAAGATTTTACTGGAAATTCCATCAGGTCCGGGAGCAGAATATTCTTTTAACTCAGAAAGAGTTTTCTTCACGTCCTCTTGGTCAAAGTGAATGTCTTCTAATAAATCTGAATTTATGGGACCCTCATAGTGAGATGGTAGATTAGCTGGTTCATCAGCAAAGACACTAGCAAAATATGAAGCAAATTCATTTGAAATGAAGTCCTGGTTATAGGAGACCTCTCCCGAGACAGAAAGGGATACCTTAGACGATACGTGTTGTCTGACATAAGAATAAAACGCTTTGGGCCGATTTGAGGAGGTCATTTTCGAATGCTGACTTTGTCTCTCTAATCTCCAAGGATAAACTATTAGAAACTCTTCTGTGCAAAGCATAATCGGAAGCAGAGCCAGAGGCCTTAAATCTACGCCACAGAGCTCTCTTATGTTTTATTTGTTTGAATAGATGTCCAGTTAACCAAGGTTTCTCAGAATTGAACTTAATAAAATGAGTTTTGGAGCTTGTGCCTATGTAATTATAATTAACGTCGTTATCAGGAATGTTTCATGTGTGGTGGAAAAGGTCTGCAGCTAATCTTGCATAATTTGTCCTGCATAACATTTTGCGATTATTGACCCGCTTGGGATAACATAATGCTTGAATACAAAACTCAATAACGACATGATCAGATTTTCCAATTGGGGAATCAAGCTCCAATTTGTCAAGTAAATTGGGATCCGGAGTAATTACAAGATCAAGAGTTGACGGAGCGTCGTTCTCTCGGAAGCGCGTGTGTTCTTCAACAAGTTGACTAAGATTACTGACAAAAAAATCTAGGAACATGTATTCCATGGAAGTGGGGGCAAAGTCGTTTAAAGTAACAGGCCAGGATATTCTTGGGAAATTAAAGTCGCCAGCAATAACAGGGTTGACGGAATTTGTGACAAAATTGTTCATGGATTGTAAGAGCTGAAGATTAGAATCATTATCAGTATCGCTCGGCCTGTATACACAGGTGAGTGAAAAACGAAAATCAGAACTGGTAAATGACAGACAAACAGCGTCCACCATCTGACCCATCATTAAATCTAAGAGCTTGATCCTGTAAGTACCGACAATATGATCAGCAACGTAAACACAAGCGCCGCCACCCCGCCTGCTAGGTCGATCGGAACGATAAATTGTATATCCTGGAATAGATATGGTGCAATCGGAAATGGAAGGCTTTAACCAGGTTTCGGTTATTAGACTACAGACAGGTTTAACGGAACTCATAAGCAACAAGAAGATCAAATTTGGCAGGCAATGAGCAAATATTGGTGTAAGCAATAGGCAAGGAAACGACGCTTACTTGTTTGGAGCCGAGATGTTGACGATTGAAGGCACACCTTTAATATATTTGATTGTTAACTGCTTTTCACCTCTTTCGTGTCTGTCCTTCAGTTCCTTCCTTTTCTGCTCCAACAAGTTGCGCTGAGAGGGCGTTTGGTCGTCAAATATCTTAACATTCCTAAACGGTCCAGTAAGAAGCTTGTTTTGCTGTTTTAGGATTTTTCTAACCACTTCAGGATTTCCAACTACGACCTTTAGCGGTCGGATTCTAGAGCTTTCCCCATCAGGATGAAGGGCTCCCAACCGAAACACTGAGACATTTAGAACTTCATTTGTTATCTGATGTATAATCTCCGTTGCCGATTGCTTATCTTGATCTGGATCAGACTGGGGAAGTTTTGATATGATAATATATTACCAGAGCATTTAAGGCGCTCATACGCTTCAGATAAGATCCCCTCCTGTAAGTCAGGGGTGGGAGGAGAACTAGTTGAGTTAGCGATCGCAGCCTCAAGAGCCACTATGCGACTGTTGAAGGTTGTTTCCATTCTCTCCAACCTCTTATTCAGCTCATCCAACTGTCTACCTCTTGCCTCAAGTTTTTTAACTAGTTGATCAAGCTTATCCTCCTGCTTGCTGCATTTATCGCAGAATATTCTAAATTTTTTTAGTTTGCTGCGCGTCATACAAGAAGCTGCCTCCTTCGACAGCCCCACACAGTTGGCATGCAAGTCCCAGTCACAACCACTGCACTTAACACTGGGCCTTTCAGAAGACAGCAATGTATTGCACTCCTTACAGGACATCGCGTTTTATATTGATCGGTCCTGGTAGCGGCGAAAGTGAACGGGAGCCAGAAAAAGTTATATCTTTTTTGAACGCCACAAAAAGTCGAACCGGGCTGGCGGTAATCAAATGTGTTTAATCTAAACAGCTAACTAAGAGTAGTTTCACGCAATACACAAAAGTCGTAAGCGCGCAGCTGACGTAGATATATAAGCGAGTATGAAACAGATCACTTAACTAAGTTTTAGCAATAAGAATCAACCACGGGTATTAGTTGCACGCAAAAACTAATCAGAGCAACAGCACAGACATCCGCACGCGTCGTGGATTGCTTTGTTTTTGTGAGTTTTTGAAAGTGAAAACCTGTCTTAGGACAATATTGTAAACACAGACAGAGAAAATGCTGTAACGGTGTGAAGTTTGTAATAAACTTGGTGGTTACGATTTCAATGTGTCATTTAATGGGTATGCAGGCGTGTAATGTTCGTGCATAGTATTATTTATAGTTGTAGATTTCGAAGAAACGCTTATGTCAGATGCGGTATGCATTACTAGGATTTGCAGAAAATAAAATCGTTAAGACCAAAAGCTGGAATTTGTAGCAATCACTTCGATATAGTGAAATTATTATAACAAATGTTTTTTCAAAAATACTTAATGCTTCGGTTTTTAGACCACAGAAATCAAGGTACTACACTTATCTTAATTTGAATATGGAATATTAAGTGTTTTATTTGTATATAATTCATTTAACATTCTTCCTTGAACAGATACAAATTGTTCCTCCTTAAATTAAAATAGATATTCAAAATGTGGTTTTATTGGATTTCTAGTTTGTCGAAAAATTCACTTTTTCAAGAAACAGAGTTGACCGGGTTGGGTATTTCTGAAATAGATATTCAGAATTAAAATTGATGAGAAAACTTGGAGAACCGTAGTTTTTGATGGTTGCTAATTTAGTAATATTATCAATTCTCCACTTTCGATAAAAATCAAGGAAGCAATGAAATTGTTAAAGAAACTAGTAAATACTATCAAGACAATAACAATAATTCAGATATTGAAAATAAAAGAATTGTTGTCTGCACTTATGTATTTGAAAATCATCTAAAATATGCACAGAATCAAGAATGCAAATAGAAAAAAATGTGAAAATTAGGCTTCAAGTACTATTTGTTCCGAGTAACGAAAATTTTATTGAATATGAAAAGTCTCAACAGCAACTAGATATTAATAAAAGAAAGTAATGGACAAGGAAATTGAAGTTAAATAAGTTAAGGAAAAAGAAAAGAGAAGGTGACAAAGCAATTCCTAATAAAAATGTAAAATTCGACTAGTGACAGAACAAGATGGAAACAAGAATTGAATAGCATTCCTTACTTAAATCAATATAAGTGCAATCAAAATTAAAAAAAAAAAAATGCTAAAGAATTTTTGCCTATATTCGTAATAAAGTTGTTTTGTGTTCCGATTTTCGTTTTGTATGACCTGCGTTTCTCTACCTAACCAGTGTTTCATTTTTGGTAGTAAAAATTTATTACACATGAAAGTTAAAAGTGTAGTTAACTAGTCATTTGACAGCATTGGGTTGTTTGATAGGCAGCACGATTGTCAACCTGATAGTCAGATACTCTGTTGCAGTCATAGTGGTCATAAGGTTAGTAGAAAATAGCCTTTTTTAATCCGATTTGGACTAAAGGCAATTTGATGTTAATAAAATAATACTCCGTATATATTTCTAAGTTTGACCTTTCCAGGTCGCTAAGAACTGTCAGTCTTCACTCACCCTTTCAAAATCATCCTTGTAGGTGAGGTTTCTTTGTATCATCAATTTTTTTAAAGTGTGAGACATGCAGCTGACTTTTACAGTTTTATCGGGAATGACAGCACGAATCTCATTGTATTTAATAATCGCTTTAGAGTCTTGCTCAGTGAGGGCGTTGCGGATATCTTCTACTTGTGTTGTCAGTTCTGGTAGAACGCTTGTCACCCTATTCAGAAACAAATTTAGGACGAACCTTTGTTCAACGATTCCCCTCCACTTACATCTCCAGCATTTCTTTGGCCACCAACTGTTTGGCCATTTTTTTACTGTTGCCTTTAGCTTGTGCGGTCAAGGACGCGATTCTACATTCGTAGGTAAATTCCCTCGCATGGGGAGGACCGACACAAGAAATTTCGGTGAATACGGGAGGAGGCGCCTTGTTTTCAACACAAAGGTTTTGCAAATTTACTGGAAGAGACAAATTTAATGTTAATAGTTAAAATTTGTGACAAAAATGAAGTATCGGGGGATTTTAGTGCTTACCTATTGGTTGTTTTTCTGGGATACTCATAAAACGTATTTTTTTCATTTCTGGTTCCCCAGTATTATTTACACCAACAATTTCTAGAATAAGTAAAAGCAATAGAATCTCCCTTTTTGTTGAAAAAAAAAAAGATTTGCCAGTTTTAAAAAAATTAGAATTCAAATTTTAAGAAACTTTTCTTAATTAAATCTTTGTTTTTAGCAAAAACACCAACATTTAGGAACATAATATGAATTACCGCGCAATACGTACCAATACAATTAATAGTAGACTTGAAAGAGCTATCTGTGTTCTCTAAAGCAGCCTTAAATGTGGTTACCGGATTATTAGCGGGATTGTATACACCCATTTCTTTCAATTGCATCAAAGCGTTGTGGGCAGCTTCGTGCTTACCGATTTGTTTCGAAGATCCGCTTCCTTCAGCCTCTATACCCCCTACAGACACTACAAAATCGAACCGGTTCAAGTGGGTTCCAGATATACTTCTCACGATTTTATAATCAGGCGGTGCAAAGCCTTTCTTTGTTGCTAACTCTTGTAGTACCATAACGGGGGTTTTAGTGTTCTGCATATTTTAAAGTAATGTTTTTCAAGTATATATTTACAACAGTAAGGTTAGGAGCATAGATCATTTTTTAACAAGTTTACCGGTTTCTTTCTTTTTCTTTACTTCTAGTGGGCACGACTGCATAAGGTCATTCGGCCAGCTTACACAATTTTCCACAATATTCAGATATGCTAAAGAATGCCTTCTTAAGAGAAGGGTCTGGACCAATCCATCATCCTCCAGGTTATTTAACGTATACAAAAACGGAAACACCTTCTAAATAAATTGTCATAAAATGACGACCGATTCTTCAAACGGCTCCCGCAATTATCTTATACGGGACATCCGATCCCATCCGGCCTGGTTACCAGCGTGAATACAAGACATCGGAAACCGTGTTAACATTCACCTCATGGAATTACACATCACAAATCCGTGTACATCCGCGTAAGATGAACACTACTTCCCAAACTTTTAGGCACTACATCTCTAACACTTCGGATAACAAATATACGTAACAATATTGTCTTTAAGGAACATTAATTTCCACCGATTTCTACAAACTTTTGGAACCGGGCAGGAGCAACGTCCGCCATGTGCAATGGTTCGCTCGAAAGTCGGTTTACCGGTTTACAATACAATTATGCGTTTCACAAACACTGTTGGGCGCGACTGCTAAGATCATTTGCCGGCCGACTTCCGTCGAAGATTTTCGTTTTTGGTCAAGACCAACACGTACGAAGAAGAAATATAATCAAAATTTGCTCAGCTAGCAAAAAAAAAAAACGATTTTGACCGATACCAAAAAAATCGGCTTCCCCCGCGGACCACCCGGCCCATTCGGCCTCCATACCGGCGTGAACAGGGAAGTTGATATCAAAATTTTGGGGACGAATGCAAGGGATGTCGGGACCGAACGGAGGTTAAACCGTCGACTGCAATGCTCCACCACAGAATCAACCGATTTACCCAAAAATGCGCGGAACACATTATAAAATATTTGTATTGTCTGTGGCTTTAGGTTTTCTAACCCCTCTAACCTTAAATTGCTAGCGATTCCAGCTGTTTTCCTTAAAGATATTGTAATTTCAATAATTCTCTAAAATATTTTGGGTAAGAAATGTTTTAATACAGCCTAAAAAATAATTGTTACTTAATATAATTGCAGGAAGATATGGACAGTTGTGAACGAAGACTCACTCCATATGAAAAATACCATTACATTTCGAGAAACCTCCAAGAGGTTTTGGGCGAAGACAAAATTAAGGAAGTTCTGGCACAGCGAGATCTAAAGATATACTGGGGTACTGCTACTACAGGAAAACCACACGTAGCCTATTTTGTTCCAATGTCAAAAATAGCTGACTTTCTGAGAGCGGGCGCTGAAGTGACGATTCTTTTTGCAGACCTACACGCATATTTAGATAACATGAAAGCTCCATGGGAATTATTGGAACTGCGGACAAAATATTATGAACATTGTATTAAAGCCATGCTTGAAAGCATAGGTGTGCCTCTGGAAAAGCTTAAGTTCATTAAAGGCACCGATTACCAGCTCTCCAAGGAATATACTTTAGATGTTTATCGGTTGACTTCAGTTGTTACAGAGCATGATGCAAAGAAGGCAGGTGCTGAAGTGGTTAAGCAAGTGGAACATCCCTTGTTAAGCGGTTTGTTATATCCAGGTGCTTAGAAAATTTATGTTTTCATTTCAAGTGAATTTTTTTGAAATATTGTAAAAGGAAATTAGTGGCATCAATTTCTTATAATAAAGTCATGTTTGCAGGTCTTCAGGCACTAGATGAGGAGTATCTCAAGGTGGATGCACAGTTTGGAGGAGTTGATCAAAGGAAAATATTTACATTTTCTGAGAAATACTTACCTCAACTAGGATACAAAAAACGGGCACATCTGATGAATCCAATGGGTAAGTTTACTACCATTGATAGACCAATGGACTCATATTTTGATTGTATTTTCACTTTCACATTAAAAATTTAAAACCTTGTCAACAGTATTGTTTAAGGGCATTAGTTAATATTATAAATGTATCTTTACAATCTAATTAATTTTCTCCCTTGTTTAAATGTCCTCAGACTTAAGTGGACTGACACCAATAAGCAATCTCCCTGCAGTTTCAAAAATACTTGAAAATTGGTAAAATTGCAAATTTCACTGACATTTCCTCTGCTTTTGACCAGTTATATTGTTGTCTTTTTGTTTCAAGTAAACTTGGATCTTCATTTCTCCAAATATTGTATGTAGATAGCCAATTTGTTAGTTATCTATGTGAGAGGCAGCAGGCAGTCAAAAAGGTTGAGAGAGTGGCTATGAGGTCTGATTGGAGAGCTGTGACGAGTGCCACTTCTTTTCACAATTTTTACATCTGATCTTGTTCACATAACTAAATGTAACTATTATGTCTAGACAAGTATACTGCAAAATTCTCATCCAACTTCTTCACCATTAATTGTATAAATGTAGACCCGCAAAATATATTAGCCTGCGCTTTCCAATATTCTCTTGTCTAAATGCAGGCTATTTTATTTTCAAAAATTAATATTGACTTGGTTCTCAATGTGTGTGTTTTTTTTTTTAAATTAGGCTTTATTTGGCCACCGCTTCACAAGGCAATTCGGCCAGCTTACAATCAAGTTTCAACTTATAAACAAATTTTTAAGAATTACAAGGCACCCGGCGGGAATCGCACCCACAACCTCTAGCAACTCGAGTTGGCAGGTCTAACGCCTTACCGACCGAGCCATCCTCGGGTTATCCTGGGGTTATACGTGGACAGAAAGAAGTCTTCCTTTTTATTCAAATTTGATTACAATTGAATAAAAGTATTTTTCCAAGTACAATTAACAACTTTCAAATTTTGATAAGCATAAAATACAGAAATGGTAAATATAATATTTGCTCTGGTAAGATTCTGATCTAAGAAATAAGGTCCAATAATTTTGTTATTCAAAATCCGTGTAAAACCTTATTTTTTTGTATAGATATTTTGAATAATTTTCTCTTATTCATTGGGGATTATTAGTACTTCAATGGGTATAATTTTGTTTATTTACCGTAACATTTAAACAAAACGTGGCTGGATCACTAAAGGGTACGTTATAATGAAAAAATGGATTTAAGTTTTAAATTTCCATCATAGTTTCACGCAACTCCTGTAGTAATCTTGTACAAATAATATTTTTCTTTTAATAGCGGTGGTAAATTTGTAAAATAAAAGAAAAATTATATTACTATTGATCGGGGTATTCCCGAGAGTCTGGAAATAGTTGGAATACTCCTTGTCGGGTCATTTTCAATTAAATTAAGTGCGTCTTCTAAATTATAGTTTCCCTGCGGTCTCCCCTGCCCACGATAAAGTTCAAATGATCCACGCTCAATTAAATGCCTATACCTATTAATAAGGACTCGACGATCAAGTACTCCACGATTAGGAAACCTATGATACTCTTGTACCGCCTTCCCAGCTCTGCCATTGCAATAGCCGTTTCTCTATTTGAAAACAAGTCCATCAGATTTAAGTAGCTTATTTTTCGTCAACAATCAACCTTCTTTAAAATGTAAAGTTTATAATTTTTATTAGAATAATTAGGTTTACAGTTGATAGTTTGATTTGTCGTTCGTTAATGAAAGGCTTTATAAGAACAATCCAAGTAAAAATTATTTTTTACTGTTTAAAAAAAAAGTAAAAAAAAAAAACAAAACTAACACCTTATATGTTAAAAACTAAGACATTTTTGGACTCTAATTTTTATCCTTATATTGACGTATAATTTCGGGACACCCTGTGTACCGGGTAATGTATTGCCGAACGGAACAGGAAATCCCATGTAAATTTTTAGGTGCCCAAATATAGACTCCCCTGAATATTTTATAGCAAAGTTGTAATATAACTTTTAACGGTATCAACTCATGTGCTGGGTTGGAATAAATTTTAATAAGTCAGTCTTCAGTTATTGAAATAAATACGGTGGCAAAATTGTAAAAGGTCTATACAAAAAACAGCAGCGAATATTTTTCATGACGCTCTTTCCAAAACTTGACGTCAAGCTGGACAATGACACATTCAAAATAAACTAAGTATGTAGGTATATCCTTATGATTTCCTTATTATCAAACTCATACTCGGTTCATAAGACCTCCAAATCCCTTAAATCGTTTTTGCAATGAACTTCACTTAAATGACAGTTTACGCAACAAGGAAGCTTTCAAATCTTTGATTAAAAGTCATTAATTATTATAAAAATACAAAACATTGCTAACAAGAAACATTATTTAAAATAAACATTATTTTTTACGTAATTGTTTGAACATCCCTCCGTTAACAATATCCTAAACGATCATAAAATTTATTTCTAACATTGCTTAGTTGATATTGTGAAATCCTGTTACATTCTAAGGAAATAGCGTTTTGTAACTGGTTAAGATTTTCAAATTTAACATTTTTATAAATAACACTTTTCAAGTTATGTGACCTTGGATCAATAATATTCCGGTTAAAATACTAATACTAATACTCCCTAACCATACGGGAATTATGGGCGGGCCACCCATCCATCTGGTACCGGCTCTTTCTAAACTTCGCGGGCATCTTCTTCTAGTGCGGGTTCAATTTGATTTTGTAATAAGTCCAAATAGGTTTCTGCCGTAAGGTTATAGTCCATAAAAAATAACTTTTATTTTGAACAACGGATAACAATCACAAATAAAATTATTGTTACAGTCACGAATTTTCGTGTTGTCATTGTGAAAATGTATTTAACTGGTGTTTGATTTATTACCTAAACAATAAAAATTCTCGAATTTTGCCGCCATATTGAATTCATAATGAATTATTAAAATTTATTCTCGGCACATGAGTTAACCATACCCTTCAAAAAGTTATATTACACCTTTGCTATAAAATTTACAAGGGATTTCCTCAGTTCCATTTGGCAACGGGTATGGTATAGTGTTCCATTAAAAAAAATGGAACTTAGTATCGACAGGTACTTTTTGACTTATCTTTATATTTTCTGTTTACCGATGGATGTGTGCAAGTATTTTGCTTGAAATCCAATGCCTGATTTTTAAATGAATTTGTTCCATATTTTAGCTGTTATAGGTTGGATTTCATGCAATAAAGATTATTTTTTTAATTTTCATTTTCTCAGTGCCGGGCTTAACGGGGGCAAAAATGTCATCGTCGGAGGACGAGAGCAAGATCGATCTTTTGGATTCGCCCGCGAACGTTAAGAAAAAACTAAAAAAGGCGTTTTGCGAGCCCGGCAATATCGAAAACAACGGAGTGTTGTCGTTTGTCAAGCACGTCATATTTCCCCTTTTTGAAGCGGGTAGCGAGTTCGTCGTGCCTAGAAAACCGGAAAATGGAGGCGACATTCCTTTCGACAGCTTCGTCAAACTCGAGGAGGCGTTCTCGAAGCAGGAAGTGCATCCGGGCGATTTAAAAGCCGCCGTAGAAGGCCACATTAACAAACTGCTCGCTCCCATTATAAAAGTCTTCTCGAATGCCGAACTCAAAAAATTGTCCGAAAGGGCGTACCCGCAACTCGCAAAACACAGTAACGCTCAATCGTTAAGGCTCCCGTCTACCTAATATATTTAACAAAATATATTTCAGAAAGTGGGACTGCGGTTTCTGCTGTCTCGGATGAGGTTAGTCCGAGCAGGTTGGACATTAGGATAGGCAAGATCGTCGATGTGTCGAAACATCCCGACGCGGACGCCCTCTATGTGGAAAAGATCGATTTAGGTGAGGAGAAACCGAGAACTATTGTTAGCGGGTTGGTGAATTTCATCCCGATCGAGGAGATGCGCGACCGTATGGTGGTGGTGTTGTGCAACCTTAAGCCGGCAAAAATGAGGGGCGTCGAGTCGCAGGGAATGGTACTTTGCGCTTCCGTGTAAGTCAATTTGAATTTAATTTATCACCATCGTTTAAATCGCATTAAGTAATTTAAGACTCGTCACGCATCTAAATACCTAAAAAGAGAAAATATAGAATAATAAAAAAAATTGCAAAGAAAGCTAAAAACTAGAGAAATAACCATTGTTAAAACACTGGCAAAAAAAGGAGGTGACTGACTATGACCCAGTATAGAATATGGCAAGTGAATATTATTGCAATGAATTTTCATTGCTATATAAAAAAAAAACAAAAGTCATCTCGCTGCAAATATGGCGCAAAAAAGACGTTTTAATTTTTTATCTTAAAAACGTGGTAGAATCATGCAGCAATAAAGTGACAAATTCTAAGTTCCCAAAACGAAATAAGCGGAATCAAATACAAACTTCAAAGACAATTGAAATTCTGGAAAAGGCATCTAGTATTCTTGAAAGTGCTAGCCGGCCAGCCGGAAGACCCTGTTTGCAAGTGTTTTTTGTAAATTTTAAAGTACTTACAACATAACAGTTTGTAATTTGTATAACCGTGAATGCCGAATTAAGGAAAATAACAAATAATGCAAATAAGCCCAGCAACAGAAATTGGAGATAGATACAGACCTATGCAAATGTAATGTAATATAAATAAAGAACTGGAAAGTTGACTATCTATATCTGTGTAATTTTATACAAAAAAAAAGCATCTCCTCTTCATTTTGAAATTCAACTATAAATAAAAACGCAAGGATTAAAAACTATTAAATTTGGAGTTCTTTTAAATAATAGGAACTGCTATATATTAATGCAAATACAAGGTATTTTCTAAATTTATTAGGCGAGATCAACTATCAGTCAACAATAATCTTTATGGTCTAACAGATTAACATCCATTTAGAAGACAATTTCATCTTAAGACCTATAACTTATAAAGTTGCGAAAGCTTTCTTTTGACATCTTAAAAAATTGTTTAAACTGTTCAGGGTCCTTTTTAAAGTCTTGTTTAACCATTTTTAAGCCCCCTTTATTTTTATCTTCTAGCCAAGGCCTGACCCACCACCTTCTTTTGATGTAAGGTGGCAAAAAATTATTAGCAGCCTGGATAGGGGCTATGACAGCATTTCGTTTTCTTTAAGTTCTTATATGACTGGGGCTTAAACATTCTAATTAAATAATTAAATACTAATCCAAAATAAAAATGGATAAACATAATCTCAAAATACTATATATTGGTTGAACTGTTAAATGACATTTTGAGACATCAAATAAATTGACGAAGCTCTTTCCCAGTGTAAAGCCAGTATGCTCGGTCAACAACTTTATGAAGAAATACACCAATTACTTCATGAATTTATTGTCAGTGTAAAACTAGTATTAGAAACGAGATTTTAAAATCTCGCGCATGTGCGTGTTGGATGGACTCAACATTTTATCCATACTCGCTCATAGTTTCTGCATTATAGGTATAGGCCCATTTTTTTAATCTCATTTTTATAATTTAAATAAAAACTTGCAAGATAATATGGAAAAAAATAAATTTCGATAGACGTATTTAGTTACCCCAGGTCCAATCATCGCTTCAAATGTGCTGGAGCGTCATTATGCACGTCTCTTCTAGCAAACGACATAATTTTATCAGTTAATCTTCAATCATGCGGTAACTCCTAACCAAACGTTAATGATATTAATGTGTACATTCTGTTATTGAATGCGAATTTTCTTGAGCTTCGTCGGAAAAGAGAAAAGCATTGGGAAATTAATCATCCTCGGTTTGAAAAGTCTTGATAAAAGAGCTCGTTTCAGATTTAATTTTTTTTATTTGGAAACATACTATAAAAAAGTATGTTTTATGTCATTTCATATGTTCTTTCTTAAATTTATAGTATTATAAATTAAAATGCAGAAAGTGTGTTTTACAGTATCAATTTTCCGCAATATTTGATTGTTCTCTGTCTATTTTCGTTTTTAAGATAAAAAATAAAAACATCATTTTACTCCCATATTTATAGCTCGAACTTGAGTATAACTTTTTTCTGTATGATAAATGATTTCAATGGAATTAAATGGGCAGATAGATGGGACAAGTTTATAAGTTAGAGAATACCTTCAGAAACAATTAGTTTTAATCTCTTTATTAAAAAATACAAAAAATAGCTTTATCACATAAACAGTCACTATACTTCTCCCAAGTAATTTTACAATGAATGTTCAACCCAATAAATTTAATTAAATTATACTCTTTATGGAGTGCGAAAAAATTGCATACATATCGTCTTATTTGAAGTAAGAAAAAGTAATAGTATTTATTAAAATTTTGGGAGATGTAATTACATTCCCTGGCAAAAATTTTTATATTTTGATGGCTCAACAATATATTGATACCATCAACGTAAAAACAGTACTCCAATAAAAAAGAATGGACCCAAAATCGATCCCTGTGGCACCCCAATGATTTTCTTTAGTGTCATTCATACCAACTGTTTGTTTACTGAGATAGGATGCTAAAGTAAATAAAATAAATCTACAGAATGTTCGTTCCCATTGAGAGTACCATAAATAGATTAAAGACAATCAATTAAAGACAATAAATATTTTTATAATAAGTGAAATATCAACGTGGTAACAAAAAAATAAAATTTGAATTGGACAATTTCCCGCTAAAAACGTAACGTGGATTTTTCAGCTATTTGTGACGTCACGAGGTAGGTTTTCGTGTTGATAGTTATCAACTTGAGCCTTTGAGTTGAGTTTTCCGCTATTTTTGAGTTGAAAATGGTTTTTGCATGGTGCCAGGTTGTAAAACTACAACCCTTTCTGCTTCGTTTATTAATATTTATTAAATTCCATATTCAAGAAAAACAACGAAAAATTTGGCTAAAAGTCATTATATTGTCCTTGTTCTGTTAAAGTAGAATATTCCAATGTTCTGTAGGCGTACAAATAAACTTGCGGAATTAGTGTTGAAGCAAATCAATTCAGTACAATATTTACTCGACAACGAAGTGTTCGGATGTACAAGTGTAAAAAAATTGGTTTACAGTTACTTGAAATCAACTGTTTCGTATTTTTAAAAAAATACAGCTTCTCGTAGACTCGTAATTCAAGAGGTACTGAATTGAAAGAAGTTTTACAGAAAGAAAATACACAGACGTAGATAATTCGTTGTTGGCGACCATCAAGGAGTCCACCAAAGGCAGATTATTAGTTTAATCCATCGATCATTATGGAAATATTACACATAACAATCAAACAAAGGCACGAATTAACTTTAAACCCCGAAGAATAAAATCAAACACAACAATATTAAATGCGTTGATTGTCTCCACATATCTCGTAACGTCATCATCAAAATTAAAGGGAGGAACGAGCTTTCTAGGATTAATAAAAGAGTAAATATATTTTTGTTTTAATATTTATATATTTTGTATTTTAGAAGAAAATTAAAAAGTTTTCATGTGAATCAAAAAATGTGTGCATGAGGCCTATTGTTGTATTTGTAAACTTGCACGGCCATTTTGACTCTTAGTTGTTTTTTATGTTCTAGAAATGTCAATAAACTTATTGCATAACAAATCTCAAAAATCTTTGAGCGTTGACTCTGAACCTAACCAAACCTATATATAGTTCTCTTGGACTCCTTATTTTTGAATCCGCTACACTGTTGAAAGCTTCACCGTCAATTTCATGGACACCCCGCTCTAGTTTTTGCGTTATTTTACGCCCTGACTTCACCATATGTGACAAAATTGAGAAAGACAATCCAAAATTATTATGGGAAATATTGAACTTGGGCAATATCTGAAATGCGGTTAGAAAGAAATCATTCAATTTATGGAATGAACATCTCCTCCCTTTCTTTCATTTGAGGGTATTCCAACATTTTTCCTATTTCTGCTTTCATTAATAATATTTCAGCTCTGTTGGGATAAACTTTATGCTCTCTTCAGTTGTCTTTTCTAAATTGCGACTGAATTTTGTATACAATTTTAACAGATCTTTGTATTTCCGAGCATATATTGGAGACTTAAGCCTTCTTTTAATAGACTTCAAAGACGACGCAAATTTCTTAACCTTTACCAAAAAAAAAAATGTTCTCACACGCAACACTCTCAACAGCGACGATCCCAAACAAGTCGAGACGCTGATCCCGCCAGAGGGCGCGGTACCGGGCGAGAAAGTGTTTGTGGAAAACTTCGAGAGCGGACAAGCGGACGACGTCCTGAATCCGAAAAAGAAAATTTGGGAGAAGCTCCAGGTGGACTTGAAAACCAGCTCCGAGTGTCTGGCACAGTGGCAGGGAAATAACTTGCTAACCAAGTCGGGCGGTAAAATAAAGAGCAAATCGATGGCTGGCGCACCGATTAAATGAATATTTAGTTGATTGTTTACACTTTTTATTTTTGTTATACTAATCGCTTATTAAAATTACTGCAAAACGGGAGAGGAGTTTATTTTGAAGAAAACAGGGGCGCTATATTAAAACAACTTGTATATTTTCTTATAAATAATAACAAATACTTTAAATAATACATATAAACAATATACAAAAGTAACCTAAGTCGAGGGAGCTGCGTGAATGGAACGTCTCCTTAAAAATATCCTGCTACTCGTCGGAAATTGTCGCGCTATTAGTATTAGGGACGACCCCAATGCCAGTTTCACTGGCAGATTCTGACCTCCGGGTAAGCTCACGAATACTGTGGCTACCGCCGCTACACCGTCGCCTGGAAAATAAAACAAGTGTGGTAAACGGCATAAGTCGGATGGTTTCGGATTGAATTTTAACCTTGACCTATTCTGACGGCCACGTCGCACGTCACATGACTGTATTAGTGGTGTTTTGTAAAAGTGTACCCAAAAACTTATGGTCATAGAAAAAGTATAGTATGCAACATGTTAAACTAAACTTGTCGATAAATTTCTTGAGTCACTCGTTTATTAGGCACTTACTCTATTCATACCAAAACAAAACTCGTGACTCAAATGCCGTTCATCCAACTTGTTGCATAATATACTAGTTTAAACACTATTGTAAATATGACACTAATAAATAGGCTTTGTTGTTATTTATATATTGCCCCTCTATTCCTTTGTGTCAGCAGACAGGTAAACAGAGACCCTGTAGGACAAAATGTCACAATGGGAGAATACAATTTCGGAAGAGTGACTAGTTTCAAGTATTTAGGAGTGACGATAACAGAGGACAACAGCATAACAGAAAAGCCGAAAAAGCCGAATCCAGAGCGTAAACCGATGTGGTATCGCGAAAGTCCAAAATTAAAATCTATAAAACTAAGACCGATACTAATGTATGGGTGCGAAAGCTGGACAATGACGAAGCAAAACGAGAGAACACTGAGGTGTTTTGAAAGAAAAATCCTAAGAATAATCTTTGGCCCTTTAAAAGATACTGAAATGGGAAACTACAGATGAAGAAACAACAATGAACTGAGAGACATATCAGGAAGCGGACATTGTCCAGGAGACTAAATCCAGACGACTAAGATGGCTTGGACACATAGAACGTAGTCCAGAAAATAGAATTACAAAGCTAGTCTGAAGTGACAATCCAGCTGGGAGAAGACCTCTAGGCAGACCTCGTTTAAGATGGCGAGATAATGTAATATCAGATCTCAGGACAATGGGATACACGTACCAACCCCAAATGATTCCTTTGTGAAGTAAAATATTAATAGCAAAGCGATTATGACATACTTGGGGTGGCCTCATATATTTGTTTAGTTGTTTCGCATCAATATTTGCTGACAAGTCGTAGTATTCACAGTATTATAAGATTAATAAAATGACAACATTCACGCCATCTAAAAAACGTTCCAATAATTCTCCATTACCAGGGAGCGAAAAAGTTATAAATATGTAAAATACCCAAAGTTTACTATACAAAAAACTTTCGACCAATGTTCCCCAATGATTCGAGTTGTAAAATTCATTGTTTTAAAATTATGTTTTAGAAAACTATTTTGGTGAAATGACAAAATATCTTCCCGATTGATTTTGTAATTATGGTTAACCCAGATTATTATTCAGGATGCATAGTTAAAAATAAAAAATTATCAACCAGGTCAATCTGACAACTAATATAAGTATGGCAACACAAACCTTTCCAAGCACATCACAAATTTGGTGCGAGAATCTGACAGAATAGCAATAAACCCAGCACTTACAGCTCACAAAAGAAAGGAAGAAATTGAAGTTTTTTTTTTGAACTAGCTTTAAAAAAGTACCAAACTTTGCGATTAACATCATTATAGATGATTGGAACACCAAGATAGGCCAAAGATCACATTGCCGTTAGGTGATGGCAACAAAAGAATAAATCACATTTTTTTAAATTATAAACCCACGGGCTATAAAAGACTGACTGATAACAGGCAAACTATTGCATACAGCCAATGTATACAAACATCGTTTTATGAAATACGTCGGCAGAGCAACAGTCCTGCGCACACCATCATAACACTGCGGGCTAAATCATATACAGCTTATCAAGTCATTGTGAAAGTTACACCAGAGAACTAGTAAATAACCGTTCAGCGAACGATCAGAACGTCGACCAGATAATTATAACGTCAAGAGTAGATAGTTGCTGAATGGATAACAATATGCAAACCCCAAACCCCATAACCCGGGTGGTAGTACCTCCACTCTTTAAAAAGAAGGGATTTTGCAATGTAATCAATGCCAAATAATGAAACAGACCTAAGTATTGGTTGGGTCCCTCCATAGTCCATTTTTACATACCAAATAAGGTTTTACTAATCCACACCTTTCAGAAATGGACGTAAATTGTAATCCCATCCGTCGCTGGTCAAGCTGACTTTGTAATTAATGTACTTGGGCTACTTCTACGATCTCCAGCCTCCAGAGGAGCTTGTCAAATAACAACATCGCTGATCCTAACTAACCACAGAAACTACACCAATCATTAAAGCATGCGACAGAAATTCTTTTCAATTCAACTAAAAATGCACGTTAGTTCCATAGGGCAAAAAGAATTATTAAAAAACATTCTAAATTAAATTTTTGCACGAACTCTGTACCTTTAAAATAAATTTCTCTATGCCCCAAGCTGTAATTTCCCATCAATCGAACGAAATACACTGCAGGGTGGCGTGTTAATTATTATCTCTCAGAATTTGTTAAAAATATCAGAACAACCTAAAGACAAAAATTGTGTGGACTGATTTATATTATAATATATACAGGGTGTTTGTATTTTGTTTGTTGGATTGTATTTTATTTTAAAGCTGCCGAAGGTGGAACGATACAATTCAATAGCTGGGAGTTTTGATCATACAGAAACCAAAAATGCCAATAGCAGTATTGTGTAAATAAAAAAATTCTAAACATTTCAGAATTTTGGAGGTTTTTTGAACAGAGTGAAAGGTTAGCATTTTTGAATTCTGCATGGTCAAAAACCCCCCTGTACTGAATTTTATCGTTCCAGCTTAGGCAGTTTTGGATATATTTAAGGGTTGCGGTACTTTTTGGTACTTGGTATTTCTATTGAACCATGACCATAACAATATACAAACAGAATGGATCTGATTGTTTATTCGAAGATAAGGTATCACCCCACTATTTACAAATCTTCTGGATTCCACCTGCGTCGGTTGTTGTTGAGTCGAACTTGCTAACGTTTCGCCAATCATCTTGTGGGCTTCTTCAGAGCTTAATTTCGACTCAACAACAACCGACGCAGGAGAAATCCAGAAGTTTTATAAATAGTATTTTGGTAGCCTGTGGAAGTTTCTTTGGAAAAAAAAATTAAGGTATCATCCCGTAATAAATGGACATTCGAACTACCTACAAACCACATTACACCACCATAAACATGGGGCGTGGTTACTTACTTGTCGGTTCGATGGCGACCGGCCGAACGTCGTAATGAGCCGGCTTTTTCGGCTTCGGCTTGGCCGACAGATTTAATGTGACGCTGGCGAATGGCCGTTTCGCCATGTGCAGCATCTCGACGACGTGTCTTCTGCGCGCGCGCCTCACGTCCGCCGCCTGCTTCGCTTTCCAAGCCACCACGCACGCGGCGAGGAACAGAAAGAAACAACTGAAGAACACGGAAAAGAAGACGAAGAGGTCGATGTGGAGCTGATCCTGGCGGGAAAACACGATACCGTACGACACTTTTTTATCGGTGTTCGGCGGGTCCAACGCTTGGAGTACCAAAAAGAATCGAGTCGTTTCCAGCTTGTGGTTCTCCTCCGGCAAAGTGATGACCAGCCGATCCTCCAAGTTTTTGACCAGGAGAATGGTTTTCGCTTGGGTAATCGTGATGTACGTTCTCAGACCGACGGCTTCCTTCTCGACGTAGACGTCGTTCAAGGTGCCGTTGTCCACGGACTTGTATCTGGTGTCCAGATCGATGTCGTTTAGTCCGGTCGTTCCGTTCGGGTAAGCGATGTACGTGTCGTCGTGGGTGCTCATGAAGACATTCAAACGACCTTGGGTGACGTCTATGATTATGCGGATGTCGACGTTCATGAACCTCGGCTGGATAACGAAGAAGACTATTTCGCCCGGGTGAAGGGGTTTCGGTTTGATCTTGCATTCGTCTGTAATTTTCAATTTTGGACACTTCAGAATGCACTTATTATAATTGTCATGAAATTATTTTTTCAAAAGGTTCACACACATAAAAACTGTAACAAGGTTATATTGTTATCTCTTTGATGATGCTGGTTCCTACTACTAGATGGTGCGATGGTATTCGTTATTTCCAATCCTTTAACCCAAGGTATGGGTAACCTTTGAGATGTTGTGGGACAATTTTTCATGCGCAAATACGTTCATAGGCCTCGTTGGCACATTATTAATAAACATCTTGTATATACGGTGATTTGGATGTGTAAATAAAAATCCTGGCAAATTGGAAAAGGAAAACTTTTGTCAATAGTAGTGTATATACTTAAGTTAGAGGTCCCACAGCTCAAGACCTCGCCCATAGATGGCAGTACAGTTCATATTTTATGCTAACGTCATATACAAGTTGTTGTATCTTAAAAAAATTAATATAGCACCCAAAATATATGAGAAATTTGAACGTTTGCAGGGTACATTACGTTTTTAAACAACCAGATAATAAGACTGGATTTTATTTGGACACTTACGACGAGGCGGCATTCCATGTAGTTTTAATGAACTGCATCATTTGGAATTTAGTCACATTATTCGTGTGATTCAAATAATGTTGCGCTTAGTCATTTGTATTTTTCGTTTTGCTTTGTGCTGTGTGTATTATTTGTTGTTAAACCATAATGGAGGCTTTTATCGAGAATATTATAGAAAGTGTGTCATTCCTAGTTGTAATGATATATTCCAGGAGAAACATAGGTTTAACTTTTACAGAACAGTTAGGCATTGTAAGAGTGTCACTGGAAAATAAATTATACATCCATAACACAAAGAATGATGAAGTACTTTGACAAACTTTAAATATGTATGAGCTAAATTTGTTTACAGACTATGTTAAATTATAAACAAAAAATATTTCACAACTACTTAAATGTTTGACGAAGTCATTCTGTTGTCGACACCTGTTATAAACAGTCATCAAGTATTTCCCTAAGTTCGTCATATCCAGAAAATATCCGGACATATGTTAATAGGAGATTTCAGTTGAATTTTTATCAGAAGAGAACGCCCCCAGAAAATTTACGCTCACTTTTGAAGAGCTTTGTATTTTTTTTTATTGAAAAATATACTCTAATATATATGCATATAATATAATAATATATAGGTATAATTTAATAATATATAGGTATCAAATAGTTGATGAAAATATCCTTTATGTATTTTTTCAATAACACGTTGAAGGAGGTTTATCTACACCATACTTGTCAAATTTTAAAGAATTTCGAGTATAGATTGTAAATTTAGAAACAGGTTTTAAGTTTTCAATATGGTATTACTTTTGTGTGAATTATACCATGGAAATTATATTAATAGTAGTGGAAGTGGGGACTTTATTCAATCTCAAATTGTAAAGCTTTAAAGCTATGGGGTCTGTTCTCAATACCAAACTTTTAGAGAATATTTAAAATAAGGACACAAAGGTGTTCAGATTTTCACGAGAATATGACAGCTATGATAGCTGTTTCGACAACACCGGGTTTTTATTTAACCCTGCCTTTTGCTATATATAATAGCCTTGTCTATCAACCCGTAATGTTATTCCAGGTATTTAACTTAAGAGGTTTTTAATTTTTTTTAAGAGGCGCATAGGGGTAATTTGAACCGTCATGTATGCCTGTGCCTATGTGTGACCGTTTATTGCAAAAAGAAGCGAGACGGAGAAAGGGGGGGGAAGTCGGGAAGATCAAAGCGAGCCGTCACGGAATTTTGTTATTAAGTTTTCTTCGTTTCTAAGTGTTTCTTAAAAAATAAAAAGTAATTACAATCCACACGAATTGTTGTCAATCTCGTCCCTGGAAACAGGGTGGTCCTTCGTCAGCAACCCTAACAAAACTCAAAACAGCTTTTGTCTAAACAAGCTATCAAAATTATCTATTAAATCTTGTGTGAACTACATTGACTGGTTTTTGAGTGAGAACTTTGTCTATCATGTCTATTACGTGGATCGGTGGGAAACTTCGAAATAAGTTTTGCACATTAAAAGAGACTAATGTTGCGTTTGTGTAATTTAATTAAAGAATAAAATTTTGGAGGTTCTAGATTCACTATGGTTAATTGCTGTCTGCCTCTATCATTAAAAAGGTGAACTTGTAATTCCTTCTTTGACAGCAAGTGGTAAGCAGCAAGCAAGTAGCAAGTACAATAATTTCCATAGATTAAATAAACATATTCTAGTGAAAATATGTAGAACTTTGTGTTCTCATTTAACAAGTTTTCATCAAAGCCATCTGATTTTATTTTACTTTCTGTAGCAAACCGTTTTAGGTAATTAACCACCTCTTCTATATAGTACAGCGTCACTGCAGCTTACCAATTGGTTTGGCGTCGAAACACATCTTCGAATCGACGGACATGTGTTTGTAACACTGATGGCCCTGGGTGGGGGTACCGAGGTAACCCTCCTTGCATTTCGAACACTGCACCATCCAACACGGATGGGCGGAGTTTTTGCCGGATCCCACGCAGTCGTCGCTAATCGTGTTGTTTTTGCAATCGCATTTGTCGCCGGTGATAGGGTGACAGGTGTCGCCGTGGCCGTGACAGTCGCAAGGTCGACACGAATCTTTAAGCTCTTCCGATCCCCTGAAGTTGCCTATGGGATTTTTTAAAAATGTTTTTCGTGCAAAGTCGTTAACCGTTTCTAGGCGCAAAAGTGAAAAAGCAAAGCGGTCCCAGAATTATAATAGTGATAATTGAATTCATGGCTTTTGAGCTTAGGTTTATTGAAAATCAATTTCTAATGTACCCGACATTTCAACAATGTTTTGTCTTTAGAACTCGAGACCGTGTCCTTAAATGAAGTAATGTAAAAATCGGCCAATATATAAAATAAAAAAGGTTAACACAAAAAAAAAATCAAATGTATATGAAACAATACAGATTACAGATTACCTTTACTGTTTGTTTGGGATTTTGGTTGATTATACAGGGTGCTTTCTAATTGAATGTCAATAATTAAGGGGACGATTTTTGGGTCCATTTTAAAAAGAAAACTTCATATGAACCTATATCCTAAACGTCTTAACTTTTGAGATACATGGTGGTAGTTTAAAAAAAAAAAAAAAAAAAAAAATATATATATATATATATATATATATATATATATATATATATATATATATATATATATATATATATATATATATATATATATATATATATATATATATATATATATATATATATATTTTTTTTTTTTAATACCACTTTAGATATTTTAATGAAATTTGGCACACATGTACTATGTATCAAGAGACATTATTTAGTTTATAACTTTTTTTTTAATTAAATAACTGTTCTTTTTACTTTTACAGCTTTAATTAAATAACATAACATCCTAACTACAAGATTAATAAGCGATTCTTTAAAAAAAACACTACCTACTATTTATAATCTCTAACAAAATCGTTTGTTAATAAATTAATAACAAATTTTTTGAAAAAAAGTAGAACATAGAAACTAGATAACTTGTTGAAAGTGTCCTCCACCTTGAGGCTTGAGATATACCTCCAGTGTATTCTTATTAAATCACAGGAAGCCTTTATAGGGTCCTTCAGCTCTTCTGCAGTGTTAACCAAGATGCGATAAATCAGACCCTCATAAAAAAAAGTCCAAACTATTTAAATCTGGAGACCTAGAGGGTCATGGTTGAGGTCCGCCGCGACCTACATATCGGCTTTTAAATGTGCGATTAAAATATTCTATTACTGCAACACTAAAGTGAGCAGGTGCGCCATCATTCATAAATCACTCTGTTCCTAATTAACTATGGTACGTCTTTTGCGAAAACCGTATATCGAATTGAAAAAATTCAAGAAATTAAATTTCATTAGAAGTAATTGGAAAATAATTTTAGTTTAAGAGAAATCAGTGTGGGGACCGAGGATGGCTCGGTTGGTAAGGTGTTGCCAACTCGAAGTTGCCGGAGGTTGTGAGTTCGATTCCCACCGGGAGCCTTAGGTGTTGTGTGCGTAAAAAAATTGTTATCGGTCAATTTTCCTCGGCGGATTAATTAATAAGCGTAATTTTAAAAAAATCAGTGACGTACCATCAATGCCTGCTAAATTGATAGGTGAAATGTGGTACGCCAGCTACTGATGTATTTAAAAAAAGGGGCAGACTAAATAATGCCTCTTAATATATAGTACATATGTGTCAAATTTCATTAAAATATCTAAAGTGGTTTTACAAATATTAAAAAATAAATATTATATCTTTGAAAACTTTGCCAAAAGTTATATGTCAAATAATAAAAGAATAATACAAGTGACAAAAACCAAGAGTTAAATACAGCCGAAAACAAACGATATTCAAATGATTTTCCGTGTTAAAGGCGAAGAACATTTTTTAATTTGCTATTCTGACCGCAACATATCGTTTGGGTTAGGGTTAGTTTTGGTTAGTGGATCCAACTGGAACCAATGGTGATGGCTAAGCTACCAAAATTTCTAATTTTAAAAAAGGTGTTCTCTAAAAATTCTAAATACAATCGAACTTCGATAACTCGAATTTTTGATAAGTCGAATCAAATTGGTTGGCAATAGCGTCAAAAGTAGGAAATGCGTCTTAGTTTGTCTTGATTACTCGAACTTCGATTACTTGAATATCTTGATAACTCGAACGAAACATTTAGTGCCAACTTCGATAAGTCGAATTTTCTCGGGGAACCCCCTAATTACGACCGATCTTAACCTGTCTTTTTAACGTACCTATGCAAGCAGTTCAGTTTCTGTGCTTGCTAAGTTCACTTGTATGACTTACTAGTTATTACTAAGTGAAAAATACTGTCCCTATTCAATTTAAACATTATATTAAAGACATTTTTGGATTTTTGCATTTGTTGATATGTCATCAAAACGTACTTTAAAAGCTTTGTCTGTTGATCAACAATTCAAGGTTATAAAAGAAGTGGAAAGTGGCTCAAAAAATAAAGATGTAGCTGTGAAGTATGGGATTTCGGCAAGTACAGCGCCTACAATTTTGAAAAATAAACATTCAGTCATCACCACAATGGAACGTTTCGAAGAAAACAAAAACAATAACATTACACTAATGGATTGTGTTGACGACGTAACTACCGCATGGAATATCGACGTTAAGCCTGACACAATTTCCAATTGTTTTAAAAAAGCCGGTTTTGGTCAGTATTCTGAATGGGAAAAAGAAGATGAGATTCCCTTGATTTTCCTAAGTGAACGCCTGAAAGAAAAAAAGTGAAGACGAAATCCAAATAGAAATCGAGTTTAAAGCTTGGACAACCATTAGAGGTTACTTCAGTTTCCTACTGATGAAGATATTATCGAGTCCTGCAGATCCGAACCGGTACAGTCAAACATCGAAGTTGACTGCGAAAGTGACACGATGGAGGAGGAATTGGAAGATGATTCCCAGCAACCACCTTAAAATGAATTGGTTGAAAATTCGTTGATTGTCTTGCGTTGCTATTTGAAAGCCCATGAATACACAACCGATTCCCTCTATGATTGTTTAAATAAAATTGAAGCTTTTGTTGTAAACCAAAATAACAAATCCGGTCGTCAGTCACAAATAACTGACTTTTTTCCAGTGAAAAAGTAAACTTTAATATGTACATACGTATGTATGTATATGTGCATACATACTATGTTTATATGTACTGGGTACATACTCAATACATTTGTATGTACATATATTAGGTAAATACATACATACATACATATGTACTACTATTTCATAATTTTCGTTTTTTGTTCAAAAATCATGGATATTACTGCATTTATGTAACGTACAACCCATTTTTAAAAATGAATGAATAAATTTTCATTCACAAAAAAGTACATGCATTGGTAGTTTTTATTGATAACTCGAAGTCTTGATAACTCAAAATTTTCATGTGTCAAATCGCAGTTCGACTTATCGAAGTTCGACTGTACTTTTAATGTAACAATGCCAATACCCAAATTCAACAAATTCAACCGTTTGTCAGGAAAGACAAAAACCCAAATAATTAATGATTTAATAAATAAACCAACATTTAACTTAAGAGCGACACAATTATTATATTAACGAATTGGTAAACTCAAATGACAAAAAAAAACAAAGAAAAATGGTACTTATTTCAATAAATGTACTAATTATGTACTAATCGGTCTGTAAATTCCTATACGGTGTTTTGGAAAACATTCTATGTCATTAGAGAGAATTAAAAGTGGTTCACAATAGAATCCCTACAACGATTTACAAAAAACATCACAAAGAAATCTTCCACAAAGGGAAAAAAATTGTTGCTATATTTATCAGAATAAAGTCACTGGAAACACAACGAGTCATTTGTCTCCTACTAGAACAATAAGAATAATAAGTGCAGGTACCTAGAAACGATTTTAATAAAAATAATTTTAAATATTTTTATATGTTACATCTTAAAGAAAGTAACACAAATACAATAAGTAGATTTAAGGACGAAAGTCGTGAACTTAGGTATAAAAATCGACAACTTCATTATGCTTTGTTTTGAATCACAGTTTGTTCGTCTTCTTAATGAAACACGCAACAGGCTTGTTACGAGCTTTTCAAAAATAAGAGATGTTTTTTTATGAGTAGGTCCCATTTTCCTAATATAATTGTCAAACAATCAAACAATATTCCGTAATTTTAATTTGTGCGTCCTCTTCCTTCTGTTATGTGTTAAATCAGCACGTGAACATTATGAGAAATTGGGTACGATTATCAATACGCATTTATTATTACAGACGTAGGTTTATAGTAAACTATGTTATTTATGTAAAAAAAACTATTTTACATATATTTCCAAGCTTTGTATGCGTTATATATCATAAAGTTAATAACAAGCCTAATAAAATTATTAAAAGACAAGGCGTCCCAATAAAGAATCGAAATTTATTAATTTCAGAAGTAAGTTGACTAGACTACTGCACACATAAAAAACTCCATTCGGATAAGTTTTCACCTTTTCTTTAAATTTAAGTATAACTGAGCTAAAAATGCAAAATTTCCAAAATCACCCTATATTTTTAATTCCAAGATTTCTGTTTGAGGTAGCTTTCATTTCATGAAAAAAAGCAGCCTTGAGTCATACTAATTTTTAATTTAAGTTTAACAATTATCGCGCCATCTATCGGGCTTACGGGTAGAGCTCAATCACAGTGCATGCATATAACAAACGGCGGAATGTCAGAAGAAGAAGAGGCGTGTAGGAGAAAAAAAAAAGTAAAGCGGTGTTTTTTCTAATTTTATTGTTTTTTTTTCGAAAAATCTTCCAATATTACATTAGAAGGAGGGAAAAATGGGACGCACACAAATTTTAGATATACGTAATCCGTAGTAGAGTGCTAAAGAAGGCAATAAAACTGGCGAAATGTTGACCACATAAGAATTAATTTTAAATTAATTGAATTGAATTATTGTGCTCTTCCTATATTCCAAAACCACCTGAAGTACCGGAAAAAACTTACCCGGAATGCATTCGTCACACCTATCTCCCGCCGTGCGGTTATCGCACCTCAAACATTTAGCGTTCGCTTTCGGTCCGACTGTCAACGTCGCCATTAGATCATCGTACGAGATGTAATCGTTGGGATCTAAATCGGTACTGTTCTCGACGCAAATGGAACTGTGACCGTGACAGTATTCGGTGCAGGGCACGCACTGGGTGTTATTGGCCGGATCTCCCACGTACAGTGGCTTACAAGATTCGCACCTCGTTCCCTGAAACACGCACGATCGAAACTAAAAACGAACCGAACTAAGGGGGCGGACCGCACCATCGTGTTGTTGTGACAAGTCAGGCACTTGTCCAACTTATCGGGACCCTCGCAATTGGCATGACCGTGGCACAGACACTGAATGCTGCAGTTGGCACCGACGTATCCGAAATCGCAGAGGCATTTGTTAGGTTGCACGCATTGACCTCGGACGCAACCTACACCGCCACAACAACAGGTTAGGTATGGTAACTTTGCAAAAAAATCACAATTATGCAGGATTATTCACGAATACAAAGTTTTCAAAATGTTATACTCCTGGGATGTGTACCACCAAAACAAGCGTATGTTTCGATCACGTTTATCATACCCAAACCTTAAATAATTTAACATTTAGCAAAATGTAACCTAATTTTAATTTCTCAAGAACATACATAAGAAGTATTTAAGGTATGCAACAAAATTTTTCCTTTATCATTACCAAAAATTATAAGTTGCATCTTATTTTCATTAAGTATCAGACCATGCTTACTAGAAATATCATTGAGAGCACGTAGGTCACTGTTTATATTATTAACGGCGGTATTAATTTGAGAATAATTAAAAAAGAGATATACTTGAGTGTCGCCTGCGTACTGATGGGAGGAACAATGCTTAACAAATTTACAGAAGTCGGAGGTATAAATGGAAAACAGCATCGGACCTAAAATACTATCCTATCGAATATTTACATATCTGGAATAGCTGTTATTGAAGAATTCTCTTTGACGTCGATCAGAAAAATAACTTTTGAAAAACTGCAACACACCAGCCCCCACACCAAAATATTTGAATTTAGCAAAGAGCAGGCGGTGGTCCAGGGTGTCAAATGCCTTGCTAGAATCAAGCAATATTAAGCAGGTATTCAGGCCTACATCATTTGTCCGGTATTTGTACCATAATGTGCCCTAAAGCCCAATTGCGTTGGGGATAGAATATTTTGCCGAGCTATAAAATCTCCAAGCTCCTTCTTAACAACTTTTTCTAGCACTTTAGATATAGTGGGGAGAATGCGAATAGGTCGGAATTGAGAAATATCATGTGGTTGAGAAGTTTTAGGGACAGGAATAAGGTTAGCGTATTTGCAGGGTTTAGGGAATTTGTTAGTAGACAAGCATTTATTAATAATATACGTAATAAGCGGCAAAAGTTGGGGGATAACGTATAATACCATTTTTCTATCAATCCTATCAGACCCCACTGCATCACTTCTAATTTGATGTATTACTAATCCTACTTTGTTAGGGTTAACACTTGAAAATGAAGGTTTTTCTGGATTTAAAGAGGTATTGTTGTTGTAGAACTGGTTAATGAAATCATTATTTAAGTCTGTTTGAGGGGTATTATTATAAAAGTATTGATAAAGTTCATTAGCATCCGCACAATTTGTATTTAGTGAAGATCCGGAGTAGACATTAAGATATCTAAGTACACGCCAGAAGATTTTTGGATCCGTAAGAAACTTGAGTTATAAAAAAGCCTTTTTCTCCGACTTAACAGCCATAGTTACAAGATTCCTTGTATTCAATAGAGGATTGTTCGGTTTTCTGTTTCTTATATTTAGACAGTGCTTTATGCACGTAAGGTTTTTATTCTCCAGAAGGATTCTACAGGGGGGTGTCAGTAGTGCGTGGTCATCACGCTTCCCTGGGTGTAGCTGTTTGAGACCCCTCATAGAAATACATAAAGGCTTAAGTAAATACCATACGCGTTCATAGGTTGATACTAGGTATGAAGACTATGAATGTAGAGAAATTTAAATGTTTTGTTAAAAATTACATGACTAAAAATGTAATGTAAAATTTGCTATTTAGGTGTAATGTTTACCAATATATAAGTAGCAAAATTTATCTATATGTATATAATTATATTCACTTAAAAAAATATATTAATGTACTTTTTATTTCTGAAATTTGGACAGCATGTTATGACCTTAAATGTACTGACGTAACAACAACAACTTTAATTGGCTATTGACTTATCTAATTAAAATGTACATACAGACTACATAAAATTCTGGTTTTGTGTGTTATTTAAATAAACGTTTCATTGCATCTAGCACTATTCAAGCAGTGTGGCGTGTGAATTTAGATATTTTATTAACATTGGTGCAAATTGAAATATTTGTGGTACTTGTTTTAAGAAGCAATGAGTGCAATAACTATAAACATTACAAGACGCAAATTCCAGTCAGAGAACATAATCTGGTAGACAGATGGCTTAGACACTTAAGCAGGACTAGGAGCTTGAATATATGAAGTCAGAACAAAAAACATAATTTCTGTTCTAACGGGTGAGTTAGCGAGTGTGATATTATCGCTCTAGAACATTGTACAAGAGAAATAAAGATGAACCGGCTGTCAATTGGCAATTAAAGCTATGCAATGCATCAAAATAACGTCCAAGATCTGTTGCAAAATCAGCCATCAGAAAGTGGGCGGAAAGAGAATCCCGGCAATGGTTGAGAGACATTTCATGACGAAGGCAGGCCAAGGAATTCTTTAGGGGTCCATTCATCAAATTTACAGCAGACCTGCTAAATTGCAAAAGAACTATCGTAAGAATAATGGTAGGTCTACTGACGGGTCACTGCCGGCTTAAGCGACATCTGAGCCCAATGGACATGCAAGTAACACTAAATGCAAATTCTGTCAAGAAAAGAAGGAAACGGCCACACACATACTATGAAAATATGACAGCCTGTGGAGAGTACTTTCCCATCTGCTGGGTGTAACCAAACCAGAGACAATAAACTACACCAAGGCTCAAATAAAAAATAAAAATGGCTTTAAGAAATTCTCACTCATTTGTACTGTACTCGATCAGCTGACTTAATTGTTTCTCGCGGAAACAAGTTGACTACCTCTGTTAAAAATTCAAACCAAGCCAGAAACAAAAAGCCGAAATCAAATTGAAAAACTTGTCAAGAAAACTGTTTCTACACAGTTGCAAAATACATGAAGAGACCTAGATTTCAAAAATCAAATCAAATTCAAAAAAATCAAAAAATATAAAAGCGTTCCGTTTAAAAAATACGAGTTTAATACTTTTAACAGTTTTTTAAATACCTATACAGGATGCAAATTATTTTAACAAGTAACCACAATAGAACTTTACATATCCATGAAGTAAAACATGTTGAAAATCTTGTAATTTGGGCAAAATATTCCGTGCCAGATAGCGTTAACAACCCTGTCTACTCACCGAGAGGACACACGGGTTCGCAACCGTTAAGGCCCGACTTGTACCCTTTGCCGCACTGACACTCGAAGCCCTCATCCAAATCGACACAAATTTCCGACTCTTCCGCGCAGCTGTGGTGGCCATTGGCGCATTCGTTCTCCTTAGGACATTTTACGTAATGCCACGTGTACGTCACGTTAAGATCGTCGCTTTCACCTTCCTTTAAAATAATAGATTAACTAAGGCGGGAAAATCGTGATACAACTGACACCTACACAATTAGTTACTGTATATAGGGTGTTATTGAAATGACGTCTTAGAATCGCATGGCCGAGCGACAAATGTATAAAGTTAGGCGATGAGGGTTTCCATGGTTGTCAAATCGTGCAACCTCGTCGGCATTGCTTATATTATCATTAACCAGATGTCGGCATCAATAGTTCAAAGAAAATATAGCCATAACTTATTAAACGCTCTTATTTTGTCTATAAACACCACAATATTGGGGAACACAAAATCAACCCCTAGAAAAAAATTAGTTTCATTGTTAGTGTTAATAAATTTAGCCATTACATATAGGACTAGCGAAATAGAGGCCCTATTTAGGTCGACAAGACAGGGATTTATGAAGCAACCATGAACAAAAAATGGAGAAGATCCATCAAACATCCAACAAAGTCGTATGGGAGCCAGTTTTAGTTAAGCTCTGAAGAAGGCAACAGGACCATTGGCGAAACGTCAGCAAGTTCAATACATCAACAACTTACACAGGAGGAATCCAGAAGATTTTTAACTAGTTTTACAGTTTCCTGCGGAAATTTCTTTGAAAAAAAAAATGGACTAAAATTGGTTTTGCAGCGTATTGTTTCATATTTCAATCATATGGAAACATTGTGTTATTTGATTGACAGAGATTAAAGAAATATTGTTCGGAGCTTCCGGATCCGAACTATAACTTCAATGAGAGTTTCGTCGCGCCTTGGGTTACCCGTGATTATGACTGATTTCAGTATTTTAGTTAGTTTTGGCGTCACAATTATATATTGCCACAACTCCGATCATGCCGTTTATACTTATTTATATGTATAATATAAATTAAGTACATCTTAATTGAGTTGGTTCAGTTATTAAGTAGCTCACGAATTAAATAAATAAAAATCTACATTATGATGATCTTTAAAGTTGCATTCAGTTACCCTTTTTTTAGTTAGTTTAGTTAGCTAGTTTTTTGCCCATCATATTGTTGGTTCGCATAATTTCTGAATAATAGCTTAATATTGTTTATAAAAAACAAAGATTCTTATTATTATTGTCAGTAAAATAACACCGTTTTTTGGTAGAAACTCAAAAGATATTTATTGCATGTCTTATCTGACTTACCAATAGATTATTTTCATCCTCGTACACTCGATTACAAGTACCCATCATCGGCCTCTCGTTCGATCCCTCAGTGCATACTCCAGCGCCGGATTCGTCGGGGGCGGAGCACCAGCCGCAGTACGCGTGCCTCAAACAATTCGAGCATTGCTTAAACGAACTGCAAGGCTCGGGGCAATGCTGCTTGTTTTCGGCTTCGAGGACGAGACCGCAGACGCCGCCCGCGCAGTAGATCGGTTGGTACGAGGCTGACACACATTCGTCGAGTTGGGTGGACCAACGACAATCGACTGTTTCCAAACAACTGCTGCAGGTTGTGTAATTTACACATGACGGCGGACACAACGACACCACGTTTGTTTCTTGCGCACCTGAAACTAAAAAAAAATTGAAGCCCGCGCCTCCTTCGCCCGCTCTCTTTACGGGTTGATGGCAACTAAGGAGTTGGCAATTTCCAACATAATATATGTCAGATGATTTTAAATTTTAAAAGTGACAAAATAGTCCTCACAACTCCAATAAATCTACTGGATTTGCAAACACTTCTAAGAACTGGATCCCAATTTTTTACTGCTATCCTTTCTAGGTTATCCATCGAAGAGTAGTCTGAATGTTACCGAAAAGCCCTGATCCCACTTCTGATGTCAGAGATCCCCTAATAAATAATAACAAATAGAAACCCCGGGGGCGGCGGTGGCTGATGGCCAGCGAGGCGACATAAGGTAATACTTTTCTGACTTATTAACAGAATGCACAACACAGTGCTTAAACCAAATGAATAATCTAATCACATAATTGATTATGAAAGGGAATCTTGCGATTCGCTACCCGCTAAATCAACCATAAACTAGCTAATAAAAAATCAATTATCGGCGATATTCAAAAAACCAGTGCATCCTTAAAACCAGACTATCTTCGCTGGGTCGCGTTTTGTAACACTTTAGAATCGTTATTATTATGAAATACGATCCGGTACTTCCACGTTTATATTTTAAATTCTAAGCAATTTCTTCTTTTCCTGTCTCACTGGCAAACACCTGATTTGCTCTGACGTCTACCACAGTACTGCGAGGCTAAGAAAAGTCGTCATTCAATTCGCTTTATTTAGTTATTATTACTAACGTTTCAAATACTCACTTCATAAAAATATACCATTTTATCAATAAGGAATTAATTCAATCCGACAGCGGAATAAATACGTACATATTTTCGTTAAGTAAATAATTCGTTCGCCAAATAAATTTGTACCGCTAGGATAATTGTTTTTTATGCACCAAGTTCAGTGATTTCTCTCCGCTCCGGCATCTCCTTGAATATCTGAGGAAGCACTCTATTTATTTTTCTCACTCCTGGCTCCGAGCGACATGCGTAGTATCGTATCGTTTTCCCATTACTTTTTTTTTAGTACACGTAGATATGTGGTCAGCATTTTGGTGATTCCGTTGCTGTTCGAATTTTTGGTTCTTTTGGAGAACTCAAGCACATCCAAAGAGGTAAAGTCTGTAATTATATGGCTTTTGTTACCTTTATCATTCCATTAATTCCTTAAAGTGTCAATAAATTTCTCGGCACGTATTCGGAATTTTGCCGCTGTCTGCTTATGCGCGGAAACTCCACCCGCACTCTCCTTGGAGCACCCGTACTCCTCTCCACACTCTCTTATGAGCATCCGTACATCTCTTTGGAGCACACATACTCTCCTTGGAGCACTGTACTATCCTTGGAACACCCGTACCCGTTTAAGAGGGTCCGTGTGTTGGAAGCACACGTATTCTGGGAGGATCAAACTTCGAAGTTCCTGCGTTATCAGGATATTGGAGCACATTTTAATCATTGCCTCACCACCGGCTCACTTGATAGATCTGCACGAAGCCAGACTTCTTGTAAGCTGTACTGCTCGTGAATAAACGATTTCACGTCCAATTTGATGTAACCGCTTCGCGACATATTATTAGGCATATCTTTTTTTCTTTTCCGTTTCGATAGTTTTACTCTCGGAAAATTTGTGAACGAATGCTTTGAAAATTTATGTATAATTATTTGCGGGAAGTTGTCGTACTTGTAATACTGTAACACCTAAGGGAATTATTTCATGATTGTTTTCTGGCAACTTCGGATGATTTGTCGTAGTAGTAGAAACCGGACATACACGGTAAAACTAAAATTCTAGCATATAATCAATTCATCCGTCAAATAAAAATCCGAGAATTCATAGAAATCAATAAGCAACTAAATAATCTTAACCGCGACTCAGGCCTTTACCTTTCACCAATACAGGAATCAGTCATACGAGACAATGTTCACGCCTCCCTCAAACAATATATAAGCACGTGCAGACACAGCAAATTTGATTTATAAACAACCGACGCAAGATGAATCCAGAAGATGTGTGTGGAAGTGTCAATTAACAAGAATTATCTTTTTGAAAATTGATTTACCGCTTACAGGGTGTAAAAAATTGCCTGGTATCTATTTTCAATAAAACAAACAAACAAAATTCTTTTTCAGTGTCTGCCAAGAATCACATTAAATTTAAAAATATAGAATAACAAAAAAACCCTTGAAAATATATTTCATCACACACCCAGATTGGAATAAATCTTTGCCATGAGAGTTTATCAAGAGTTACAAATGGTGAAAGTGCATTTGGAAATAATGTTGCCAAATTCAAAATTTAGGCTTCACAGATTCCTTTCAATGCTAATTAGAAGGGGAGTTTTGGTTGACTTTTTTTGAAAATATCACACAGAGTGTTATATTTGGAAAGAAGTGTGTTTTCGAAAATTATAAATTGGCTGGTAAATTTTGGTAAGTGATTCTTCTATATCTCGGAAATAGTTTATTTCAGCGAGAGGTAGGACGACGTGAACAGAATTCAAAGGATTCAGAAAACGTGCCCTAGATATGCCTTACATACATTTTTTCTTCTTAATCTGATTCTTGCATAGTTGTTGTTCATGCTTTGTTGTTTTCAATTTTTATTGGTCTGATGATGCAATTTTTGGCGAGACGTGTCATCTGGCTTCTAAATGTCTTGAAGAATGATATAGAAAATGATGATATTACCTATATTTCATTTAAATCATGTACATGGGTCCCGCAGATGCAAGACGCCTATTTTTTCATAGATAACCACTTAGTATCTTTAAGTTTATGAGTTACTGGGTCAAATTTTCTAATGTCATGAACTCTTTGGATTCTATTCGCATCCGCCTCCTTTTTGATAAAATACACTATAAAAACTAGTCCTTCATAAAACAACTTACCGGCCTCGCACTGTCTCCTCGAGTAACTCCATTCGCATCCCGGCATCTGCAGGCACTGGATGCAATCCGTCGCCACGCATCTGTTGTACGGACAAATGGCCGCGGGACAGTCGTTATCCGCCGAGTTGACGCACGTGTTGCTGTTATTGCAGTAAACGCAGTACGGTGTTAGACTGCAGGTGGCGCAGTCCGAAATAGACGTGCAGTTGTTGCCATACTGCAGACTCTCGTTACATACGCGTCCGAGATTGGACACCCTCGAAGCTACAACCGAATCGCAAATTCCGATTTCAAGAAAAAAAAAACCGTGTCTTCCTCCACACCTTTCTTATATAAAGGCGTCAATACATCCGTACTTGTTTCGAGCACCAAGGTTCTTTAAGAACTAAAATAACATATTTGAAGAGTCAAGGGAGGAACTAAGTTTTTATGGTTTAAACTGTCCTGGATTGGCAGTTTCATCAACATCATTGTCAGGTGAATAAACTATCTGCATCTGTATCTATAGCGAATTGCTTCAGGCCTCGGTTCTTGGTTTGCTGCTGTTCCTGGGCTAATCAACGATATAATGACTGATATAAATAGCCTAACCTGTTTATTTGCTGCACTTCACTGCTAAGTACACAATACTGCACATTTGTTCCAACACACCAAAAACCTGATACACACTTTGGGAAAAAACCCTCAATCAATTTGACCACCAGAAAGACCTTGAAGTAATTATAGCAAAGGATCTGGAATGGTAGAGTCACATCGCAGGAATAATAAAAAGAGCAAACAAACACCTTCATATATTTAGTTATACGTCATTCCTGTTCAACAATTATGAAGATCTATAAACCATACATAAGACCGATGCTGGAATCTGCTGTAAGCATGTGGTACTCATAATACGTCAAGGATATAAAACTGCTGCAGCGGGTAAAACGTCGTATGACTCCAATTCCAATTGAACCTTCCACCAACATAAAATTGTGAGCTATGGCATCCATCTAGATATATCTCTAGCAAGCGGCAAAATGAACACTCAAAGATCACACCAAAAAACTGTCAAGAGAGATGCCCAAAACTTGGCAGACGAAACTTCATTACCAACCGAGTAGTAAATGTTTGGAACGCACTTGCTTCGGCGGTGAATGCTTTTAAGAGTAGACTGGACAAGGACCTTATACGTCCAAATCGCCAACTCGTACAATGACAGTTTCATCGGACTTCGGCCTACTCTCAAATTCATAATAATAATAACAATAATTAAAGTGTTCTTTCCCTAACCCATTTAAGGTGTTGCTTTATTCCCGTATCATGTCATAATCTGGTGGTAACTGAATAAAGGAAAACTTGGTATTTCTTCTTTTAGGGCATTTTCGCCAATCAAACCATTACGAAAATTAGCCTAATTTAATATAATTAATTTAAAGCAATTAAAATTTAAATTAACATGATACATGACTCCAAGTATTTGTTTTCAACCCCTGATTTCTATCTCAAGATGGCGTAAGCCTCTTACGCATTTCTAACCCATTCATATTACTTTACGGTTTCTGATTGGGGTGGGGGGTCGTGGCTGTATTTATTTTCTATATCATAAGTAAGGTGAACTTATAGGACCCTGCTTTACCGGTTGGGTAGTTGTGCTGAAGATGAGCACTGGAATGCTTGAAACATGTACTTATTGACGTATTTTTATTAATAAAAGGATTTTATGTTAAAGTAGTGTGGAGGTAGGACAATTTTCATTCTCATTTTAATGGTATCTTACTGTTGGTCTGCGAGCCCAGTGGGCAGTCGTCCGTGTTCCTGTGACATATTTCCACCACCGTTTCGTCGTTAACCTTGTTGGCGCAATAAGCGCAACCAGGCACCCGAAGACAATTCGACCGGGTCGAAAATAAATTGCAAATGTCCATCGGAAGCTCGATTTTCAGGACGGTCGATTGCGAATCGATTCCCCAGCCGCCGATGACGTAAGCGGCGTCGCCGTCCGGCTCGATCGTCATCGCTTGGGCGTAGGTTTGTCTCGGGTAGGGACCGATCTTTTCGACGGCTAAAATAAAAGTTAAAAGTTACCACATATTTCACTGACCCCGTGACTGGCCAGACCTGCTTCTGAGAGAAAAACATGAAATCAATTAAATCAATGTTTCTAGAAATATTTGCACTTGCACATTTTGTCAGATAAAACACAGTACAGTGTGACTCATTTTTGACTTTTGTACGGCATATTTCCCTTATTAATAAAGCTAGCATGAACCAGCTTTTGTGATTTTTGAATTTTTGCATTTTTAGGCACACTTATGCGTTAAGTTCAGTAGGATTCAATGAAATAATCATTGTTCTTCGGCATCAGCGTGGTATCCAGATTCACCCCTCATATTGTGTGTCATTACAAAGTCATGTCAGGTCAAATTTTAACAAATCTTTTAAAATTAGAAATAATCGAAATCTTGAAAAAAAACTAGCATTTCATTAATTATTTAAAAATCTGAAATGTTGTTTACATCAGATAGAAAAAATAGTACGAATTGAGATGCTACTACTTTACCTTCGGTCATCAAATTGATCCACTGATTGCAGCTGTAGGAGAAAACGTACAAAGTGTCGGTGATATTCCACGGATATATGCGCCCGCCCAACACCAGCATGTAATGATCAGTGGTCACCGCAGTATGAAAGAACCTCGGCTTGGGCTGAAAAATTGCCAAGTTTAGGTTTTCCCCATTCCCTTATCTCACCGTCCTAAATAGAGGAATGCGGACGAAACATAGGCCAAAAATTCAGTGCCAATAATTCGAATAGCAAAAAGTGGTAATGTAGACCGCGAAAAAATGGTTACATTTTTCAAAGAAATTTCCACAGGCTACTGTAATACCATTTAAAAATCTTCTGGAGTTCAAAGTTGCTGACGTTTCGCCAATCATTCTATTCGTTGTAGGGTGGCTGTGTGTCATTATAAAATGGGGTTCACTGTTAGCACAATAGTGAAAGTTATGCCTATTAGCACAACCGTTTTTATGGAGCGTGGATTCATCCGTAAATAACACCTTTTTAGAAAAAATCGTCTTGTTCAAAAATTCTTTCTTGTACCCGTTCACCAAATGCTTATCTAATTTGATAATCATTTTCATTGAGTCCTTGATGAAGTTGTACATGATAAGGATGCATCTTATTTCGCAAAATATTATTCGCAGAACTCTTGGATATTATTAAGTCTTGGAACATTTGTCGCGTGGGTTTTCTGTGGCACTAGAAGGTAATACTTTAAATTATTTTCCTCGTTCACTACAGTCTTGACTCTTTCGTTCTTTTCATAAGCAACATTTACAGTTGGAGTAAAGCGATTCATAAAATTCTCAAGAGTTTTTTTAGACGGCTGCCTTCTATCGGGATACTGTCTCTTGTAAATTCACATTCAGCTAGTAATGCGTTTTTCTCGCTAGATCCCAGTACGAAAATCATATCGACTATTTCTTCCATTGAAAATTCATGGTTCACTTGCAGGTTAAGCAACTAACAATAAAGTCATTCAGAAAATTAATATACAGTTAATTTTAAGATAGGTAGAATTTATATTTTTTTACAAAATTAAAAATTGACGCGAATTATTGCGATATTTTCTCATAATTTCACAAATTTTCGGAGTTATATTATATATATAAGGAAAATGGAAGTAAAAAATACATAGTGAGTGACAAAGATAAATGATTGTACTAGTTAAAAAATCTTACATAATAAAATTACAGGTGTCGGAAATGGCATCAAAATATAGTGTTAAACACAGGGGATTTTTGACGAAAAAATGACCATAATTCCGAAAACACTCAGTATAGACCATAAGAACTCTACATTGGGCGATTGAGTATAAACGGGACTATCTACTATTCAATAATATACAGGATGTTTCATTTAAAAATAGATATATATTTGGTTTCCTACACATTGATTAATCGGAATAATTTTAAATTGATTTTGTCTTATTTATTACTTCTGTATTTAACATTTTTTTTCTAAAACAAATAATAAATGAGATCCATTACTTTGTCACTTTATTTATACACCCTGTATACTGTTTAAGAGAAGCGGAGCTCAAGGACATGAACATTGTGTCATCATGTCTCTCTGCCTGCCTCGCCAAATAATATATGAAGAGGTTGAGAGGAGAATGTCAAGCCAATGCCAGTTAGGTTATGAAGATGATAACAGGAGGATTGGGAAAGGTCAGCAGTTGGAGAAATAAGTAAATAGTATTACAGCAGCCATTAGAAGTTTCTTTGAAAAATTAAATAACACCACGCACAAGAAATGCCAACTTTGACATGACATATTTCTGAAATATTCAGAATAAACCAATAACTATGGTAGGGTATAAGAACCAGATAATCAAGTAGTGAACCGCTAGCAGAGTGTGACTGAAATTCTCAGAGTGGCACTTTTGACTTTTTCCCGGGATTTCTTTCGCGCGCCCTTACCAAATTTAAATATATTACTTTGACACTTTATTGATACACCCTGTATACTGTTTGAGAGAGGCGGAGCTCAAGGACATGAACATTGTGTCATCATGTCTCTCTTTAGCTCTGCTTGGCCAAATAATATATGAAGAAGTTGAGAGGAGAATGCCAAGCCAATGTCAACTTTGAAATGACATATTTCTGAAATATTCAGAATAAACCAGTACATACGGTAGGGTATAAGAACCAGATAACCAGGTAGTTAACCGCTAGTGGAGTGTGATTGAAATTCTCAAGAGTGGCACTTCTGACTTTTTGCAGGGATTTCCTTCGCGCGTCCTTACCAAATTGCGATTGTTGCCGCTGCCCGACAACTCAATCCAGGTTTTCGTGTCGTACTTCAACTGATACAGGCTGTTGGATAGTACCGACAGTTGCCTGTCGTACACGTAACCCCCGAACACGTACAGGCTGTTCGTTTGTGAATGGAACACCGTACTGTGTCCTATAAGCCCTGGCGGACCCTTGCCTTTGGTATTCACCGGCTGCCAAACATCCTTGTCCAGTTTATACTCCCAAATGGTGTTGACGAAACCGTACTGAGGCGAATCGCCACCGATTAGTATCAGACTCTCCTCCCTGTCCGCGTTCCTATAGTAAGTGAGGGTGTGGCCGTACACCGCGGGCGGCCAATTGCTGCTCCAGTATCCCACCAGTTTGTGGTAACCGTGGGGCGAGGTGATTTCGCTCCACCGCTGATTCTGGATGTCGAATTGCCAGAAATCGTTCAAAGTGCGATTGTTAAAACTCTTTTGGTGTTTCGTCAGGCCGCCGAATACGAATATCGCCTGTTTCGAATGGACGATGTCGGCTCCGTGGAAATATCTACCCTGAGGCATCTTGGCGTCCGGTGTGGACTCGACGGTCACTTGCATCCAAGTGATGTTGCGCGTGTCGAAAAGTCTAATGTCGTTCAGAGGACCGTGAGACAGAGAATACCCGCCGAACATCCACAACGATCCGCGTCGATCGGACACTAGCGAGTGTCCGAAACGAGGTAGGGTTTTTTTGAGGTGATCGAAGTTGGAGGCGAGACGGTCGGTATTGAACAGCTCGATGAATATGAGCTGAAGTTTCGTTTCTCTGGTGAAAATAGAAATCGGTAATAAAAGGCGAAAGCTAATTAGCGACGATTTCATGCAGATATATCAGGAAATGTGAGAAACTACGTTTTAGTTCATTAGCGACTTACAGAAACTCAAAGCTGCTCCACAAAGTAAATCTGTTTAAACAAGCGCGTATTAGGATATGTAATTATAAAATAAAGCATTTCTGTGTCGGTTGAAGAGTATAGAGAACTCCAGAAAGTTATGTCGGCGTTCATTAAGCAACTCAGTGTTTTTCATTTTGATTTGTATCGCGGCAATGACTTTAGAATCTTTAGAATATGACTTATATGGACATATTCCAATCAAGTACGGTAATGTGAGTTTCACTTGTTATAATATATTTCCAAATCACCTAAGGTGTGAGGTGATCATTGCAATATAGAAAGAAATATTCATTAAATATATATTGCAAAAATCCAATATAAATTTTAACGATTTTTACAGCATCTTAATGTAAAAATAAAAACTTGCTTTATCATTACATTATGTAACTTTCTTTGTAGAGTACTAAAATTAAAAAATGATGGTATTTACCTCAATTCAGAAATTTGCACGGTCTTTTATGAGAGGTGGACTCCAGCAGTGAAATAGGGAACTATAGGTTTGTTTGTGTTCAGAATTAACTGTCAAAGATTTTTGAGATTTGTTATTCAATACGTTTTTTAAGATTTCTAAAATAGGGAAAATGGAGTCAAAATTGAGCAAATCTGTAAATACAGCACCTCTGGGCTGTCTTGAATAAGTCTATTTTATGATTTAAGTAGAGCATTAGACACTATAAACCAAAAAATAGACAGTTTAAGCGTGGTGAAAGGAGGAGGGGTTGCTTGGAACTGGGTACCAACCTAACGTAGTGGTAGGAAACAAACGGTTGTGATAGATGGTACCAAGTCTGACAACAGAGAGAATAGCTTTGGGTTGTTGTTTTTTTTTTTATATTTGTTATATTTGGAAAAATAGTAGCAGACGAGTGTTGTCCTAGTCTTGCTAGTACTGTTCTATATGCTGATAATACCAGCATATTCTTCACCTATAAAAATATCGAAAATTTTAAATGTTCAAATGGTCGAAAATCCCGAACGTCGTTCGTGTTCGGGCGGGGGGGTGGTTTGTAACAGCCGATCCGCCTACAACTGAGACGTGACGTACACGTGATCAAGTGACAGAATGTTTAGGTTAGAACCAGCGATTTTTATAGGGATATCAAGTTTGAAACTTATTTAGGGTAATGCAGAACAGGAACAGAACCCCTTAACAAATAATTTTTCAAGACGACTTTATGTATTACTAGTGATGCAGAGAACCGCACTCACGTGCGTGCCATTTAGAGCCAGAATGTATCTTGGATATCTGCTTATGTAGAAAAATCTTTGTCAATATTTGATAATTAAATATAATTAAATACAAGTTTCATGGATACCTGCAATTGCTTGGGAAACTTTATTAATGACTCTATTAGTTGTTGATTGGTCTATATCAGAAAAACTTCCAACTCCTGGTAGAATACTTTCAGTTGCGAGAAATGACAATGATTTCTAACAAAAAAAAAAGTTACTCAAAATACATTAATACAATAGTAATGGCTTAAGATTTCTGCAGAAAGAATTGTAATAATGAATCATGCATTTTCTGTTTAATGGTTCCTTTAGAATTATTTATTTTTAATTTCTTATTACATCTTTAAGTGTGTATTCTGATTTAAATAATGAATAAGCAAAAATGCATTTTAATAACTCAAATAATAAAAACCATACGAGAGCCGAACTTACTCGATATCACAAGCGGGACCGGTCCAGCCCTCGTTGCACAGACATCTACCGTACGATTTGTCACAGGTGCCCCGCCCCAAAGCGCTGCTGCAATTCCCCGGGCAAATACTTTCTTCGCAGCCGAATCCGACAAACCCCTCTTGACAGACGCACTGCCCGTTGCGACACTCGCGAGGTGCCTCGCAATTGTCGCAACTGATCACTTTGTACATGGCGCTAAAGTGCTCGTTTGGCAGGCCTTGTTTGTAGTGTACCGTCAGGTAACCTAAGATTGAAACACCGCCCGTATTCAAACTTCGGTTTGTTTTGTTACAGATGAAGTGTGGGTGAGCTTAGATAATGGCTGTTTATTAAACATGGTTACGTCCTGAACTCAGCGGAGTAGATTGTATATTAATGAAAAAAGTTAAAAACGAAAAATTTAAAAAATCAATTTGGCTACCCAACTAACAGTAACTAGTAGTTAAAAATTTATTATAAGGTGACCTATATTTATAACCTTAGCTTTTGTAACAGTTTTTATAGTTTTATAAAAAACCCATTGGTATTACCATTTTTGTAAGAAGTCTAATAACTTTTTTTTAAATATTGTTCAGGTTAGAAAACTTTTATTTTAGGGGGTTTATAGCTTATTCTGTAATAATCCTTATATATTTTAAAGCACCTAATAAATATTCGACAGCTAGCTATGAATCGTAAGGAATGTGTTATGTATTTATATATTAAGAACAATTGGCAAAAAATTAGATATAGTAGCATTTTTTATAAAAAGTGATAATTAACCAAAATTAGAGAAAATCCAAAAGACATAAACCAATATTTAGTTTTTTATTAGAACAATATCATATTGGCAAATACTTCTAGTATAAAACACGATGAAGACAGGAAGAAATTAGATTTAGAAAAATGTGTTGACAAAAGGGGAAATTGGCTAAATGACTTATTTGATAACCAAAGTTGTAATGAGGTAACTGAGGATAACAATTAAGAATTGCCAATTAATTAACGCTCTATTTCCTCGAAAGTAAGCCAAAATTAATTAAAGCACCTTTTTTTAATTTTCAATAAATATTGCCAAATCAGGTTTCGGCACTGAATTTGGGTCCCGAATCAACTTGTTTCCATTTTTCATTCTTTTTTAGATTCAAAACTTTTTTGGTTTGAACAATTTTAAAAGGCATATTTGGCAATAAATAAACTGAAAAGTGAGGTTATAATTGCCATTTGACATTTTCGCAGTTTTCAATGATTTTCCAGTCAGTTTTAATTTTATATCGGTTATGAAGGTTTTTATAAATACATTTTTGTTAACTCAGAAAACCGTAAGTGTTTCAAAATAAATTTAGCTTTTGTTGCAAGAACAATATTGCTAGAAAACACCTAGGTAAGTTTTATAGAAGTTTCCAACGTGTTTAATTTTATTTGGAAAAAATATAAGTTTTAAAAAATCGCAGCTCACAATGGTTATGGTTATTTTTTCCGGATTCACATAAATACCTTCACTTATTTTTTGAAAAATTTATTATTTTAATATTTTAATTGCAAAAAAAATCATGAGACGATTTTATTTTTTAGGTTCTTAACAAAGTTAGTTTTAAAAAGGGCAAAATAGAAAATTATTTTATACATTTTGAGTGCTCAAAAAAAGTTATGTGGCTCAAGCAAAAGTTCAGTTTTTGGGTTGTTGTAACATTTGCTAAGACATTTTCATAAAAATTTCAAAGTAATAATCAATTACAATCAACTATAGAGTAAAAGCAAAATACAATGACTCGAACATGAAATAAAATAGAGAAACAGTTGTTTTTTGATTGGTTTTATAAATACTGTTAGTAGCCAAGTTTATAATAGTTTTTATAATATATTTTGGTAAGTTTGTTGCCGTTATAAAACTTATTTATAGTTAATAAACTTAACGATAACGTCTCAGAAATTGAAACGTCGTTGTTGTCAGGTGATAATAAGGGCGGAGCTAAATGTGATGACGCAGCAATGTTAAACTCACGGTGTATACAAAATATTGTCTAATTATAGGATGATGAATTTTAATTACCCGTTTTCGATTCAACTATGGTGGTCGACAAGGCTTCTTCGGTGCAAAACACGGCTGACAACGCACTCTGGCTACCCATATCCACCAACTCCGGCAACCCGTCGTATACATAGACCGCGTTTTCTCCGCAAGTGACATTCAATTGAGACGCATTCATCTGAAACGTTTGTGAAAACCAATTGCCTCATTTAGAGACGCGATAAGATATGCAGTAAATACCAAACGCCAAAATAGTCATTAGATACAATATTTTACTTTAAGATATGAACAAACGTTGTATGGTGTTACATTTATCCCCACCACAAAATATAAAACACATTCTATTGGGCAGTCTCTAGGAGTTAAAAATTAGAAATGGAGGAAGTAACGCAGCAACCAACCCACCTGCAACTGAATAATCGGAGTTCCGAATTCTACGTCGGGTTTGATGATCCACAAACATTCCCTAATAGGAGGCCCGCCCCACGGCGGGACGTAGTACTGCATGGAACTGATTCCTTGGCCTTTGGGTTCGCTCAGGAAGCCTCGCGCTTCGCACTGGTAGTAGCACTGTTTACCGTCTCTGGGGTCACCTGAATAGTTCGGCCGGCATTTTTCGCAATGGTCACCTTCCGTGTTGTCTTCGCAGAAGCAAACTCCCGTTTCCCGATCGCACTCGCCCTGGTCTATGTTCCCGTGACCGTTGCAATCGCATTTCTGGCATCCTGTCCACAAGAAAAGACAACCACGTAAAGTTCTATTAAGAAAAAAGTGCACTTTCGGCTTCTGCTAATTGAATCGAGAATAGACACACACATGCTTCTGTCCAGACTGTCTCCGGAGCAAAAACATTTTTGCTAATTGGTCATAGGCTGAGTTAATCGCAAGCGTTGTCAGACTACTAAGTCAGATAGTAAATTGTTGTCAACAGCTTAGCGGATCGACTTGCGCTGGGTCTGATGTATCACTTGGCGTTTAGGTGCTGTCTAACAGTTCTAGCAGTGCTTTGTCCTTCGGATGTTCGGGTATGGAAGGAAGGATAAAACCGGTATTTGCAGAGAAATTTAAAATTAAATGCCAAAAAACGGAATCGATAGTTTATCTAAAACTCCTAATAACACTTTACTGGTTCGACTAATCTAAGCTAGAATTTAGTATTCAGTATTCAGTAATTATCAGTAACAGGATTTTGATTTTGCCTAGCAAACATATTTTGCAAAACCTTTTTGAAGAAAAGAAGAAGTAAAGTTAACTTAAGACCTAATTTCATGCAGAAAACTGTCTTAATAAAAAAAAGGTAAAAGACTTATTAGTAAAAAATAAGCCTTCTAGTCAGTGGTGTGGTCAAACAATAACATTCAATCGTTTCATTTTCTCATCACTATTTTTTCTCTATCTTTTTATTTATCTATTTTTATATACTCCTTATGCCTGCCCTTTATACATTTTTTTTCTACTCCCTTCTCTAAAATACGCAATTTTGGAAGTGATCGGATGCTTTCGGAGATATTTTCCACGGCTTGAATTTTGACGTTTGTCAATTCTGACGGTCATGTCAGTGAATGTACTCGTTACTTAAATAATAAATAAATAAATAAAAGTTATTATTATTATATTTTTCCGAAGGGCGGAGTTAAGTCATTGTTTAGCTGCCGAATTTTAACCACTCTATCACCCAGCTCTTATATTAGTGACAGAAAAGGAAAAATGTCAGTTGACAGATACAAATCAGAGTTTTTTGACATCACATATGATGTAACACGGGGCCAGTACCTGACAGCTGGAAAATTTTTAAATAAATATTATGTTTATTCCCTTTTTGGTGAAACTCATTGTGGATCATATCCCACAAGTGTTTTTCTTGACAGTTTGATCCAAAGTTGACATTTCACTCATAACTATTATGTTTATTATTTTAAACCAATTATTTTTAAAACCTATCAAAATTTACATATCTTGGCCCTCTGTTTTTTATAATATAATATAATACAATACAAAAATGTTTCCAACAATGTAAAATACTACTCGTCAACGATGACTTGAAACTATACACCAAAATTGAGACCCGATGACTGTCTAAATCTTGAAGACCTTCTGCGCTTGAAACAATATGGTTACAATAAACTCCACATACAATAACACCAACCTAGAGCAAAGGGCGGAGATTCGAGATTTGGGAATAATGCTGGACGAAAAGTGGACTTTTAAGACTCATAATAAGTGAATGGAATAAAATAGTCGGCTTCATAGAAAAAAATTCAATGATTTAAGAAACCCCAAATCTGTTTATACTTTTTAATAAATAAAGTTAACAGTTTTTATCACTTTTTTTTAACTAAAGTGAGCAAAAAACTAACCTTGGTCCGCGGTTGCGTTGCCGTAACTTCCTGGACGACAGTCCTGACAAAACTCGCCCATGGTGTAATCCTGACACTCGTCGCAGATCTGGTAGCCTCTAGGACAGGCCGAGTGATTGTTGCATCCGCAGTTTTTCGAGCAGTCCTCACCGTACCAACCGACGTCGCACTTGCACGCGTAGTCCGGCTCTCCCTGACATTTGCCGTGCTCGCACACATTGTAACAAGTGCGCACGCAAGATGTGCGACCGTCACCGATGTAACCCTTCTTGCAGTGACAATTAAACGAACCGTCGGTGTTGGTACAGATGGCGTGGGTGTGGCAATCGTGGAGACCCAATCCGCACTCGTCGACGTCAGGACACTGGGCGTACGCCCACTTGGCCTGTTGCCCGTCTAATATTTCGGTGCAATTGACGTGGGGGTTGTTAAAGTCGCCTTGGACGCACGCCCCGGTCATCGGGTTCGACGAGCTGTAGCACCAGCCGCAGCTCAACGAACCGAGACACGTCGAGCAATTCGAGTGCATCGAGCATGACTTGCATTGCTCTTGGATTTTAGGAGTGATTGAGCTGTTCTCGTGGGTGGTTATTAGCGGGAAAGCTTGGTCGAGCCATTCGCGACATAAACCGAACTGATACTCGCTGGTGTAGACTGAAAAACTGAAACACTGCTGCGTGGCCTGACACCAGACGCAGCGCCCTTTCCTGTTGAGGCAGGACTCGCAGCCTGAGCGTTGGTAGCAGGGAGTCGGGCACTGGTCCAAGGTCGTAGCGGCTTTGGACTTTTGCCCAATCCTCGTGCACTTGGCTTCCTCCACCCACCACTCGCACAGGTTAGTGACGATACACGACTCGCATGATATGTAGTTTGAGCAATTGGAACAGGAACTGGGCTGCAGCGTTAAAAATTTCCAGTCGCCGTCGTGCGAGCAGGTCTCCTTTTCGTCCTTTAACCGCGACTGACACGAATTGGTCAACTCGCACCACCCGCAGTGGGAATCCGTCAGACAATGGAGGCAGTTTTGGTACTGGTCGCAGGTACCGTTTGAATACGGTTCGAGATACTCGAACGTGAACACTTTCGGAGTCTCGTCTATCTCTTTGTAATGTTGCAATTCCATTTTGCTCTGCTGGTGCGTACTGTATATCAAGTTGATCGTTTTGGTGGACCGGAAATCGACGGATATCTTATCGGAAGAGTTACCAGGCCACTTGAATGACTTGCAGTGCGTTTGCTCCGCGGAAACGTTCGCGATCATGTTATCGGCCAAGGTCAACGTCGCCGAGCAGTAGCTTATGCAGACGTTGAGCATTTCCTGCCACATTTGGGGCAGCCTCAGGAAACCGAGCAGGCGAGCGATCATCTCGCCGCCCGTGACGTAGTCCGCCCTCAATTGAGGACTGGAGGCGCTGTTGAAATCAACGGTCGTCGCGTTAATGATCGCGACGTGGTCAGGCTGGGTGAGGTTCACGGGATAATTGTACTTGACGAAGGTGAGGCCGGGTCTCATGTCGAACTCCCTGCACTGTTCCGGTTTGATGACCTCGGTTCCCTTGGAGCCCCACCAACCGGGTATCTGACTGGGACTGTCTTCCTGAAGACCGCAGACTCCGTAATTGTCGTCCTTGTGGTGACATCTGGCGTTCTGCACGCACCACGTGCACTCTTCCAATCCTAATTTGTGTGCGGCAGACACCAGGTGGGTCTTGTTGGGGTACACGTGGCCGTGTATGAGGCAGGAGTGGCAATCTCCCAGGGTGGGACAGACGCCCGGGCATCTGGTAGTTTGAAGGTTTGTGGTACAATTGGCGCCGATGGTTCTGCCGTAACACTGTTCGTCAGCGGAACACCAACCACACTCGGGATCGGCCGAGCATTCCGCATAGTTGCGATGTCTTACGCAGGTGGTTTCCGGATCGTAGGACTCACCCCAGCGAGACGCGATCATCGGTGGTACAACGTAGGCTAAGAGATCGCCGTTTACGTTTCCGTGATAACCGCCCACCAGTAATAAGGTATTCCCTGAAAAGTATCGGTCGTATTAAAAACGCGGTTGGTTAAAGTAACGGCGATGTTTACCGTTCCTGACGCTCGAGGCGTGTGCAAAGACTCCCTGGTGCTTGGGGTAGCGCGATTCGTTGTGTTTGCCCAATATGTCCGGGTTTACCCATGTATGACAGCCCAAATGGTAAAGGTACATTTGATTGTCGTAACATATTTCCTCTTTGTTGTGGCGGTGCGAGTAACCTCCGAATACCACAAGGTAATTACCGAAAATGTTAGCGGTGTGGAAGGCCCTCTCCCTTGGCACAAACTTCTCCCTTAGATGCTCTCGAGTGTAGTGGATCTCCGACCAATGGCGATTATCTAATTGAAAGGCGAACATCCTGTCCGACAACTTCGAAAATCTGAAAATATTTTTGATTCGATATATGTAAACAACAAAATATGCTTATTTGATATTTTTGGTTAGCTTGTTAGGATTTTGTTAGATATTAAAGAATATTGAATTTACGCTTTATTGTTCACTAAAATGATTTTTACTTTATTACTCTTTAAAAAAGCATTTTCCGATTTATACTTACAGGCGATATTTTTAATAATAATAATAATAATAATAACAGCACTTTGTTTCCAACATGTAACATGACCCAATTACAGGAAATACTAAATATAAATCATCCAACATATATACCAGGGGATGTAGAAACTAATCTTAAATCTACTAATCTTATAACTAAAAAAAAAGAAGGAAAGAATCAGAAAGAAAAGGAAAAAAAAAGAAAGAAAGAATCAGAAAGGAAAGGATAAGACCCGACGCCAATCGAAGTTGCTGGGTGTTCGAAGTGTTTTCGGAGCACGAGCATTGAAGATCCCAAGTGAGATCTTGGCGAACCATCTGCAGGATTTCAGTCGGAGTTCAACAAACGAACGGATGATATCCCGGAGTATAGTGTCATCACATTTTTCCATCCGTGAATCAATACGAGAATATATATATATATATATATATATATATATATATATATATATATATATATATATATATATATATATATATATATATACAGTGTGTCCAAGATAAGGATGCACAGCATGGGGATCTCGGAAACTATAAGAGATACAGTGTCGGTTAAATTAGACAAAAGTTGCGCATTTTGATACCGAACAAGATCCCGTTTTACAAATTTGAAAATTCCAAGCCGTTCCGGAAATATCCGAGAAAAACCGAAATATTGCGATTTCGTTTTTATTATTTTTTAAAGCTATTTGAAAAGATATGAAAAAACGGAAAACACTTTTCCATTGGCACTTTTTAATCTCTCCAAATTGACGTTAACAAATTTTCATTACAGCGTTTCGATTCCATGGAACCACCATCAACTTTGATTTTTCTTATGGGACGGAAAAAAAGTACACACAGTATTAGGTTGTGCTTTTCATTGCGAATTCAATGATGTACGATACAATATGGTTACTTATGTTTCTATCCAGAAAAATGGATTTTTAATACATTTCAGCATTTAAATGGAGTAGGCCATGACAAAATGACATCCAGTCAATTTCAATGACATATTAATGTTATTTGTCTTTATTATCAGTCGATCATAAGTTTATTCCTTTAGTTATTGTTTTGTATTTTTATTGTTGTTGTCTTTTTCTAATTTATTTTGTTCTACAATGGAGGGAGGTAATTTTACAAACGAAGAAAAATGTGATATGCTGTCTTGCTACATCTGATGCCAAAGAAATTGTGTGGAAGCCGAGCGTATGTATTCTAACAAATACCCAGAGCGGAGACAACCTGACAAGAGTATTTTTCGGCGTTTGTTATTTAATCTGAAAGAATATGGATCATTTAAGAAGCCTGCATTATCCCGACAAAAACCTTCCAATGAAGAAAACCAATACATTGTTCTACAATCTGTTATGGAAAATCCACAAACTTCTACCAGAGAAATTGAAGACCAGAATGGGGTAGCTAAATCTACAGCTCAGTTTATTTTAAGGAAAAATGAATTTAAGCCTTACAAATTCAGAATATGTCAAGGATTAAAACCGGGTGACGACGAACGACGTAGACATTTTTGTGAGTGGTATACCAGGATGTGTGATGAGAGTTTTAATTTTCCATATAAAGTGATTTGGTCTGATGAAAGTATGGTGACCAATAACGGTATTTATAACAGGCGCAATACACACTATTGGTCGCAACAAAATCCACGTGTTAATAGACTATCCAGACATCAAGTTCGCTTTGGGTTTAATATTTGGTGTGGGATTTTTGGTAGCAAGATTATAGGCCCTATTTTCTATAATAATTCCTTAACTTCCGAGCGGTACCTTGACATCTTGAGGCACGATTTAGAAGATGCCTTAGATGATTTACCGCTAGGCGCTGTGCAAGGCTGCTGGTTCCAACAAGATGGTGCCCCAGCCCATAACTCCAGAGAAGTTCGCCAATATTTAACTGAACGGCTTGATGGAAAATACATTGGGACTTACAGTGAAACACCTTGGCCTCCAAGGTCCCCGGACTTAACTCCCTTGGACTTTTTCTTATGGGGTTACATAAAAAATGAGGTATTCAAAGAATGTTTTGACAACGAGGAACAATTACGTCAATCAGTACGAGCAGCGTTTAATAAAATTACTCCTGAAATGTTAAGTCGTGTTTTGGAGTCTACCGTGAGACGGGCGTACTTATGCCTAGAAAATGGAGGTCATTTATTCGAACATTTGTTATAGAATTTGTTTTTCATTAACTTGTTGGATTTAGTTGTTATGTTAAATGAACAGTTAGAGTTAGTAAATAAATAAACACATTAACTCGAACACTTGTCAACCATTTTCTTTTGCCTTTCATCGTTCGGATCTCATGGCCTACTACAATAAAATACTGGAAATGTATTAAAAAGCCATTTTTCTGGATAAAAACATAAGTAACCGTATTGTATCGTACATCGTTGAATTCGCAATGAAAAGCACAACCTAATACTGTGTGTACTTTTTTTCCGTCCCATAAGAAAAATCAAAGTTGATGGTGGTTCCATGGAATCGAAACGCTGTAATGAAAATTTGTTAACGTCAATTTGGAGAGATTAAAAAGTGCCAATGGAAAAGTGTTTTCCGTTTTTTCATATCTTTTCAAATAGCTTTAAAAAATAATAAAAACGAAATCGCAATATTTCGGTTTTTCTCGGATATTTCCGGAACGGCTTGGAATTTTCAAATTTGTAAAACGGGATCTTGTTCGGTATCAAAAGGCGCAACTTTTGTCTAATTTAACCGACACTGTATCTCTTATAGTTTCCGAGATCCCCATGCTGTGCATCCTTATCTTGGACACACTGTATATATATATATATATATATATATATATATATATATATATATATATATTCTCACGTATTGATTCACGGATGGAAAAATGTGATGACACTATATTCCGGGATATCATCCGTTCGCTCGTTGAACTCCGACTAGAATCCTGCATCCGACTGGAATCCTGCATCCGACTGGAATCCTGCAGACGTTTCGCCAAAATCTCACTTGGCATCTTCAATGCTCGCGCTCCGAAAACACTTCGAACACACACACACACACATATATATATATATATATATATATATATATATATATATATATATATATATATATATATATATATATATATATATATATATATATATATATATATATATATATATATATATATATATATATATATATATATATATATATATATATATATTTCTAAAGATGGCTTAAAAATATTCGTAGCAAAGAAAATAACATGAAAATAGGTCTATATACTGGTTTTCTACAAAAAGGTTACATCCAATTTGCGACTTCCGAAGTCATGTCTTAATAGTTACAAAACAGCTTTAATTACCAAATGCAATAAACAAATTTACTAAAATAGGTAAGATTATATTCTTAAAGTAATACGTTTTTGTTTCGCATCACTAGATGTTTAATCAACCATAATGATGAAACTAGGGCTAATATTCACAGAAATGTTATCGTCCTTAAAAGTAATCGAGTAATCAGCAGAGAATAATTTATTTAGGGCCAAAATTTAATAATCTACTTTCGTATGTGTAAGGAAAATTAAAAAAAAAAATTTAAAAGAAAAAAGATATTTTCTGGAGGGGTCCAAAACTATATTCTAGAAAACTCTTCCACGTTTGGCTAGTATGCTTAATCTTAATAGTTTAGTTAGTTTAGCTTTTCTGATTTTAATTAGAATTGAATTATTGTAGGTTTGTAATTTCATAAATTAGTTAATTTTGGGTTTTAACACACATAAATTGAAAAATAAATTTAAATTGAAAACTTAAAAAAAAAGTTTAAATAAATTGAAATTAAAAAGAAAAGTTGGGGGTAGTAGATAACAAAAATTTGGAGCACTTGTCAATTTTGGATTAGTTGGAAAACTCCTGTGGACACCACATTTTCTGATATCTTTGTATTTTGAATAAACTCTAATAGTGTTTTCAAAATGACATCCATTTTCTTGAAATTACAATAGTGACATACTTTTTTTCAATTTTCAAATTAAAAAAACTAACAAGAAATGGGCAAGTTTTCCAACTTTTTGTTATTTAAATTACTCGTAAAAATAATGTTCGGTCTATGGCTCATAAGTTCGGGAAGATATTTTTCTTATTGCTCATTAAAATAATTTTCAATTCGCGATTTTATTGCATTACTCACTAAAAAAATCAATTTGCGATTGTCGAATAATTTTCAGTTTATAATTTGTAACTAGAGGACGATATTTTATTATTTATCAAAATAATTTTCAATTCGCGATTTATAAGTATGTAACAATAATTTTATTATTTATTACTCATTAAAATCATTTTATAAACACAAAATGTCATTTTTTTATTGATTATTAAAATAATTGTCAATTAGCATTCTGAAAGTATATAAAATGTTTTCTGTATTACTCTATTATTTATTTATGTACTGTATTTAAGGTTTATATTACACTACTGATATAGGTTGGAGTGTGTTGCTGGGGTGATTTCAAGTTAAAAATATCAAATGAACATATCCCGGAACTCTGTTCTAACTGAGGTACAAGCATTTGAAATTTTAAAGACCAATTAAAAGAAACCCCTTTATTTTATATTTTATTATTTCTTATTTATTTATATTTACTGTATAGTGTAGCTTTTCTAAGAATTGAAGTGGTAGCTCTGCTAACAGTCTCAGGGTCAGCATGAATAGTTTCTGCGGCATCCATAATTCTAGCTATCAGTTGTTCTCTGTTTTCAATACTTTCTTTATAAACTAAAGTTTTCAGTCTTCCCCATAAAAAGTAATTGAAAAGATTAATGTCAGGTGACCTTGCTGACCAAAGAATTGTGAACTTGTTCCAATCCACCGGCTTGTATAATTTTGATTAAGAAAGTCTGTTACTTATCGACCAAAATGAGGTGTGCCATCGTGCTAAGACCACATTCGTTATCTTCTATTAAGAGGAACATTATCCAGTTTTAAAGCTTGTACAGGTAAGATGTGGTACGGACACAAACCGAAAATGTGTAACGTTCTTCACACTCTCATCCGGCCTATGATAGGTACCTGTTCTTCAAACCCTAGTACTAGTGCGATCAATCGTAGCAAATTGCTGTCGAACGGAACATTCAGGAGTAGCTGTAAGAAACTTGCCTGTTTCTCTGAAACATCGATGTACATTGCAAAACAGTTCTACAGGGCACACTACGAGTGGTAAATCGTCGAAGAAATGCATTAACTGCCGCTCGTCAGTTTGCAATACACAATCCATAAACAAAATGAATGATGGCACATTGTATTTCAATATAATACACGAAAATAAATATGCAAAATTAATTCAATTGAAGTTTAATAATATAATATTAATACAAATAATATTAACTGCCAAACGTAATACTGGAGCAATTCATTGGATAAAGCCGATTCTTTTTAAATGACCTTTATGTTCATTTCACATTTTTAACGTGAAATCACCCCAGCAACACATTCCCAAGCTAAGGCAGTCATGTTGTGGGATACCCTATATAAATACGTGCCGATATTTTTTTATTGCTTATTAAAATAATTTCCTGTTTGAAATTTATAAATACGATATTTTTTATTACTCTTTAATATAATTTTCATTTCGCGACTAATAAGTACCCCTTCTATTTATTTATTACTCATTAAAATATTATTTAAGGAAGCAGCGATTGAGTGCATTATCATGTGGATTCCTGTACTTTTACAATATTATTTTTTATTATATGATAGATGTAATAAATGATGAATTAAATACTTATGAAATAATTATCTTCATGATTTTTAGATCTTCACTATGAATCCTGGTAAATTTGTACTCATAACTTTAATTACTAATCAAAGACACTTATCAGTCTTTTAATGTCTTTTCTCCTGACTCACTAAAGATTTATGTATTTTATTTCTCTTTCTTTACACGTAACACAAGTGGATGGCCATTGGTGTACCTATGGACAGTATTTGTATTAAAGAAAACGTTGTAAAATTGTGGAATGTGGAAACTGTATAAATTGCAGGTGAGTCATCCTGTAGTCCAATCCAAGCCTAAATAAGGTTTTATCTCTACACTTCAATTAAACTAACTTCAAAAAACCTAGAAGAATAAAGAATAAAAATGAGCATTTGTCGCTTCTCTATTTGTTGTGATTACACCGGGGAACAAGCTGCTGAAAAAACTTCTCCCACCCTAATAAACCCTTCAATGCCAAAGACAATAAAATTATTTTTGTTCAATGAAAATATTACTGTGTGTGTCAACGAAAAAGGAGATAAGTCGCAATCGAGCTTTTCAAAATTACCGCTGATTGAATTATCAATTAATTTATGGTGAGTCAGACATTTTTTAGTGCATTTCCACATGGATTTAATGATATATCTCCTTTTTAATGCCAATATCTTTCTTACCTAGCAACTCCAGCCACTATGCCACCATAAACTATAAGCGAGTTTGTCGGCGAGTGATATACGGTGGAGTGAGCCACTACTCTGACGTCCAACTGCTTCCCTCCCCTCAGTTTCACTTCCTCCCACTCCTCAGTTTCATCCGGTGATAATTTTATACTGAACAATTTCGAGGAAAATTCACCATCCGACGTACTACCGCCAAATAAGTAGATGATCCCATTGGCACATGTGAGGGTGTGACGAGTGAGATGGGGTGGTGTTATATTCGAATATTTCGCACGCAAGCGCCACTTGCGAGTTTGTACATCATAATACCACAGATCATTGGCCAAACTCCCATCTTTCATCTTCCCACCGAATATGACAAAGCCATTTGCTATGGAGCATGATGCATGGCCATACCTTGCTTCTGGCTTGTGTTCATCATTTATCCGGCTATGTCTCTGTCGTCTTCTATAATGTGTAGAATTTTCACTGACAGCATAAAGCAAATTTCTGAGAAACGACGTTTTACTATTTATACCCCATTTTTGTTCCCAATCAGGCCCGGCATGTTCTATAAGCTTAGCTATTGAGCTAGGTTCTATATTTAGGAGATTTTTATCAGATATAACATTGCCGTTTTCATCACGCCAAGTACTAGTTTGGAAATTGTACACCTCTAAGCTACCCATAATATTATTAAGATTATATCCTCCAAAAACATAGAGAGAGTCAGTCATTTCTATATATACAGCGGAATGGGCTGCACGAGGTTGCAGCCCTCCTTCGGAATGTGAGAGCCAATGCCATTTATTGCCTACAGCCTCATTTTCATATAAATCACAGGCGTGTCCCGAGTATCCAGAACGGCACACGCATCTACCCTGTTCACAGTGTCCATGACCAAGCTGGCGTCCACAATTGCCAGGGCACAACCTTCGAGAACAATCCACTCCACCCCATTCGTTACTATCACAAATACATTGATGGTTATAGCAGACACCTTGATAAGAGCAATTATTCGGACAATCAGTTATTGAAAATTCCGCCCGAAAACCATCTAGAACATAATTTGTGTCACTATAAAGCAACACAAGCATGTACCCTGACGAGGCAACAACTTGTTGAGGTTCAGTTTTGCCACTAAAACTTCCCAGTAAAGGGGAAGAGAACGAATCTCCATCATAAACGAATACATAATCATAGGAGCATTCGGTACCCATACTTCGGAAACTTAGGGAAATAAACTTATCAGATTCATTTGCTTTGATCAACCATTCACAATGACTATCTTGCGTGTAATTCGAGCCAACGGGGCCATCACTGATGACGCCCCACGAAGAGGTAAACACCCTTCGACTTCTATCACATGGTACCAAGTCCACCGCTGCGTATCCAACTACAATAAAACCAATAAAAATTTCCCATAATGAGTAATTGATGATTTGCCCTCGCATATTGTAAATAAAACTGAGCAACTAACAAACGTTAGGAGATTTCTTGAGCATTAAACTAGCCATTATTGCTGTTAATAATACTACATCACATCGCGTTTGGTTTCAATTTTTACGAACTTTGACAAAAACTGGTTTACCAAAACAATCGATGACATTTGGTAAACTTGGCACTTCACCACATGACAGGCGTCATATTGGCGATAACATTGGGGTAACCGAATTATTAATTTAGTATTCTATTAAAAAGTAATTTTTCTTCTAGACCACAAACCAAGATTAGAGATTTGTATAAAAGATTGCTGGTAATGTAACTAAGAGCAAATAGCACGAGTCAAACTGGAAAAAATATTCGGGATTTGTGTCAAGAACGTATAAGATCCTAACAAATAATGGATTAAAAAACTGTGTTTTTAAAAATAGGGTACTTTGATCAACTTTGACTACGTTCTCTTTTTGATATCGAGATCCCTCAAGATTTTTTGAATAAATGCTCCAAGACTCCAATTCAATAAACGAAAAAAAAAAGCAAACTTCAGTAAAAAGTCAATCGAAGTGTCCACGTCATTTGAAAGAGAGGTTATGTCAAAAACATAGAAATGGTGATGTGTTTATAAGTCCGTGTCATTAAATTGAGCCTGGTAATAAGCTTCCTAAATACCTCTGAATAAAGACGACTGACCATGGTATTTTAGAAGTTTGTATTGAAAATATGTATCTAATAAATTTCGCTTTCCAGCCTCTCCGACTAGATATAAAAAGAAAACTGACTGCTCGGTCGGACAGGGTAAAATGCGTAGACTTACACCCTACAGAACCCTGGATGTTATGTTCCCTATACAGTGGAGTAATAAATGTTTTTAATCATGAAAACCAACAGCTTCTGAAAACTTTCGAAGTGTGTGATTTGCCAGTTAGAGCGGCAAAATTTGTTCAGAGAAAGAACTGGGTTATAAGCGGATCAGATGATATGCAAATACGAGTATTTAATTATAATACCTTGGAGAGAGTCCACAAGTTTGAAGCACATTCTGATTATGTTAGGTCTATTGTTGTGCATCCAACACAACCTTACATTTTAACCAGTAGCGGTAAGATACATGTCCCATTGTGCAAGTCCCAATAATTTTGAATTCTTTGTTGATTTTAAAATATTTCAGACATTTAGACTTGCAGGGAATCACGGTTTATATTTTAGATGACATGTTCATAAAACTTTGGAATTGGGAAAAATCTTGGGCTTGCCAACAGGTGTTTGAGGGTCATTCTCATTATATTATGCAAATAGCAATTAATCCAAAGGATAATAACACATTTGCTAGCGCTTCCTTGGATCGCACCATAAAAGTGTGGCAACTGGGATCGCAGACAGCAAATTTCACACTGGAAGGGCATGAAAAAGGTGAGTATTTTAATTTGTACGTATCTATCAAATCAAATTTCTTTTGAGAAAAATAAAAAATACAAATGAAAAAAAAATCAAAAAGTAATGCAGTAAATCATTAATTTTTTTTCTGGTTACCCTTCTATATGTAGACTCATGCAATATAGAAAGGCTACTACAAACTACTAACAAATAGAGCGGCTCTTGTCTTCGTTTAAAGTCTACTTCAAGGTTAAAAATGGCTAAATGTTTTGGGTTTTAGTGATCAGGAATAAGGAAACTGTTGCCAAATAATTTTCTCAAAAAAATACATTTATTGATTTTATTTATATATTGAATATTTGTGCTTTATATTTAAATGTTTACATTCATTGTATTTGTTACATAAATATGTAGATGAAAAGTTTTAGTTATTATCTATTAAAAATTGTTAGGTGCTTTCAGAATTATTTATTCTTTTGTTAGATTTTTAATTTTTCATCGTAACCTAAGTTCATCTTGTGAATCTTATGAACATTTTTTTTAGGGGTTAATTGTGTTGATTATTATCATGGAGGGGATAAGCCTTATTTAATATCCGGTGCGGATGATAGATTAGTAAAAATATGGGATTACCAGAACAAAACTTGCGTCCAGACTTTGGAGGGCCACGCCCAAAATGTTACAGCTGTGTGTTTCCATCCAGAACTGCCAGTGGTTCTAACAGGTAAATGATTTGTGTAGGTAGCGAAATGTTAATTAAAATAAAATATCCCTCAGGTAGCGAAGATGGCACCGTAAGGGTGTGGCATGCAAACACACACCGTCTGGAGAGTAGTCTAAATTATGGTTTTGAAAGAGTGTGGACGATAAGTTGTCTCAAAGGTTCAAATAATGTAGCGATTGGGTATGACGAAGGCAGCATTTTGGTGAAAGTGGGTAGGGAAGAGCCGGCTGTTAGTATGGACGCCAGCGGCGGTAAAATCATCTGGGCCCGCCATTGTGAATTGCAACAGGCCAACCTCAAGGCTTTGCCTGAAGGTATTTGCATGTCTTGTTTGTCGGTTTTCACACTATATTAAAATTTATTTTTTAACCGACAAAAATCGCCATCTCAGTTATTGATGGATTTTATAGTCTATTTATTGGTATGTGGAGTAGTGAAGTCTCATTTAGGTATACAAAGCACTACATTTATCTAGTTTTGTCATTTATACTAAAGAAATAGAATTGTAGACTGACGTCTTGTTAGCTTTAATTACTTTGCTAATAATAAAAAATACATTGATATTATAATTTAATTTAATATAAAGCAGTTGCTTTTTTTTTTCAAAATTATTTTATCTTTATTATATATAATGTAGTCCTTAACTGGGTTAAGGGCAGTGTTTCTGTTAGGCCTATGGATGATCCCTAAATCGACCCGAAGCTGGCATAGTTTCTCTTGCACTTATCATATCTTGAAAAAGAATATACAGGGTGTTTTCGAAATAAGTTAACAAACCTCAGGAGTTGATTTTTTAAGTGATATTAATGCAAAAACAGAGCCAAGAAAGCTTTTTATTGGGATGAGTGGAGAAGAATCAATAGTTTCAATATACATTTGTACTGGGCGTCCCAATAAGGAAGACAAGGTACTGTATTAGGGAAACAGATAGTACTAGAAATAAAAAAAAAATTGTTAAGTGAATTGGCCCAAAGAAGTGCTGGGTATTTTAATAAACTTGAAGTCCTTAAAAAGGGCTTTCCCTAGTGCTAAGACTGCTGCGATTATGGTTGCTTGCTTTGCCACCAGGATATAATTATAAAAATATTAATTTTCTGAATTAGGAATAAATAGAATGATATGAGTTTTTGAGGTCATTAGATAGTCAAACAATGGCCCAACAACCATGTGAAAATCGCATCTATCCCAACCTAACATAAATATTTCCATTTTACAGATTGTTACTAATGTTTTATTATCTCAAATTTACAAAATTAAACAAATTTTTAAAATCAAAAAATTAATTACTTAAAAAATTATAAAAATTAGTTAGTCTCCAACAATTAATTAGTGACCTTGTTCTGTTAGTGATTTTATATGAAAAAATAATGGTTAACACTAAATATTTGAGAACTGCTAAGCATATCACAACATAAAAATGTCAGGTAATTTGGTGCCCTTTGAAGGAATTGTAAAAAAAGTAATGAAGATAAATGATAACATTTTATTTTGATTTGAAACAATATAAATTAGCATAACATAATAAATTAGCTCTTTATTTGGTACATTAGAGATAATTAGACATTAATTATTGGTTATTAATTAGAAATTAACCTGTAAAACTGAAAAAATTCCCAAAATCCAACTTTTTTTTGAGAATTCCGATTTTAGAATAAAGATATTTAGATGTGGTTTACACTGGGTTTTGCGCACATCTCAGAAAACTCCACCTAGTGGTGAGGTAAGTAATCACAATCGCGTTTCTTATAGCACGATCTATAGCCGACCCCAAGAAATAGAACAAAGAGCATTAAACAAAAATGGTTTCAACTTTTCTCAGCTTTAATCGAGTTTTAAAATAAAAAAAAAATGTTTTATTTTTAGGGCCGCGGGTTTCTCCAATATCGCAATTCGATGCCCTTACTGGCACACTGATCAATTCATAACTTTGTTTGACATATTCCGATTTGCTTTTTCTATGTTTCTCAATTTGTTCTATCTATTTTATCTCTCTCATGGTTTCACGGTCTGTCTGGTCTCCTTAGCCCTTTTGGTGGCCGAGCCAGTGTTTTTTTTTGGGAGTGTTTCTAGAGACATCCTATGTACATATTCCTAAGTGGTTCATTAGTTATTGTTTTCTTTGTACCTTTTTTAATTGGCCATGCCTCTGATCCATATGTTATGACAGCTCTTAACTATTGCCTTAAATTTTACTTTTTTGTTCCCTTTTGATATGTGTTTGTACCACGTGAAAACTAATTTCTCGTCATAGGTGCTGAAATCAGGGACGGCGAGCGGTTGCCGGTGGCCACTAAAGACATGGGCGCTTGCGAAATTTACCCCCAAACGATCCAGCACAATCCCAACGGGCGTTTCGTGGTGGTCTGCGGCGACGGCGAGTACATAATCTACACCGCAATGGCGCTGAGGAACAAAGCGTTCGGCAGTGCGCAAGAGTTCGTGTGGGCGCAAGACTCGAGCGAGTACGCCATCCGCGAGTCAGTGTCCACCATTCGGATATTTAAAAATTTCAAAGAGAAAAAAACGTTCAAACCGGACGCGAGCGCCGACGGAATATTTGGCGGTTATCTCTTGGGTGTGAAATCGGTCACGGGACTCAGTTTCTATGACTGGGAAACGCTGGAGCTGATCAGGAGAATCGAAATTCAACCGCGCGCCATCTACTGGGCGGACAGCGGCAAACTGGTGTGTCTGGCCACCGAGGACAGTTACTTTATCTTGTCGTACGACGCGGAGCAGGTCCAGAAAGCTAGAGATAACAACGAAGTGGCGGAAGATGGCGTAGATTCCGCTTTCGACGTCCTTGGCGAGATAAGCGAGAGCGTGCGCACGGGATTATGGGTGGGCGACTGTTTCATATACACCAACGCGGTGAACCGGATCAATTACTTCGTCGGCGGAGAATTGGTCACCATCGCTCACTTGGACAGGCCACTTTATGTCTTGGGTTACGTGCCGAAAGACGACCGTCTCTATTTGGCAGACAAGGAGTTGAACGTGGTCAGCTACCAGTTGCTGCTGTCCGTGTTGGAGTATCAAACGGCCGTGATGCGTAGGGACTTTGGTACCGCCGATAGGGTGCTGCCGTCGATCCCGAAGGAGCACAGAACGCGGGTGGCGCACTTTTTGGAGAAACAGGGATTCAAGCAACAGGCGTTGGCGGTGAGCACGGATCCCGAACACCGCTTCGAGTTAGCCATCGCGCTCGAGGACCTCAATATGGCTCGGGCGTTGGCCCAGGAGGCCAACAATCCCCAAAAGTGGAGCCAGTTGGGTGAATTGGCAGCATCCACGAATAATCTTCAATTAGGTAATGGTCTTTTTGTTGGGCTGCGTTCCTAATTTTGTCGAGGTGACTTAGAATTGGGTGTCATTTTAGACAATATTTCAAAACTGTTCCACTAAACGTGAATGCCAATGTGGTTTTGTGAGAAGGTTGGCTGAAATATATCACAACAGTTGCAAGTAACCAACAACACTCATGTCTCGCAGTTGAGTCGCACATCAACGACTGACATGCGTATTCAATTGTCACACGCGATTATACAGGGTGTTATTTTACTGACATCATATAATTGGGTGAAATTGGGCCCCCCCCCCCCCCCCAAATCTGTTTAGGCAATTTATTCCGTACATGATTATGGCGAATTTTTTGTTTAGAAAATGTATCCCAAAACGCATCCCAAATATCGCTTAAATACTTCGGCAGTTTCTTGCCCTACATTTATAATTTCCAAGATAAACAATGTAACAGATGAACAATGATAATGATAAGTTATTCAGTAACAACAAAATTATCAAATAAAAGTATAGGACACAAAACTATGAGTACATAAGTAGAAAGCATTTTTTTTACATTAATCCACACTTAATCTAATTCTATGATTTTGGTTAGTTTAAATTTGTCTAACGGATAAAATTCATCATTTTTTTTTACATTATTTAAAAATATACAGTTTAATTACATTACATCTTAGGTAATAACAGCAGACCATTAAGGTGTCACTGGATTTTACGGTTCGATAATTGCCGCGCCAGCTATGTTGTAAAGGACGAATCATCATCGAATAATGTTAAAACAGAAACAATTCGCACAACACTTAAGCGTATGCCTAATCACCGATTGAGAAATATTTGTTTAGATCCTATTGTAGCTATTTTTGGGTACAACTAAAAGTTTCTGAGGAAATTTGTGGAACGCATCAAATAAAAGTGTTTGCGAATAAATTGCAGTTCATTGATTTGATTTTGATGAAAATTGCATTCAATTGTCATCAATGTAGCTAAATGAACTGGAATTTTTCTAAATCCTTTAATATTGTGTTCTACTTTTCAACTTTCATTGCCTTAATGAATGGTGGATGCGCAGGGAAAATAAAAAATTGTTTAAATGGTCTTTGTCAATTTCGTCATATTGTTTAATTAAAGAAAGCGACTATAGCTTGCTTCCTTTTTGTAATTGTTGTTATCTTTTACATTTTGAGGGTAGCTCGAGGAGCGTCTTACAACGCACGGGGAGAAGGTCTGATCTGTATGGGATCTTCTTTCAGGCTTTCGCTTAGAGATTCCGCTATATCTTGCTAACACTAACATTGTAAACAATTAATTGAAGTTGGCGATTTTGGGCCTGTAGTTTTTGATATCCTGGTCGATTGACCTCCACAACTATTTTAGAATAATCAATAACATTACAGGGCGTTTAATCAGAAAAGTGCGTTCCTCTATACATCAACAGCTGCACTTACCCGATACTTTTTTAAATCCTGTTTCCTCTTGTCATTTAAAAGCCAGCAAGGGTTGCAAGAGCCAATAAACCCCACAGTATATATACCAGCCCGTCTTCCTGTATTGTCTCGAATTTTTTTTCAATCGAATTTATTCTTCTCCGATGTGACTGGGACTCGTATGGTCGTGGATTTGTTGATCGACGAGATTGTGCCTGTGATATCTCCCTCATGTTGTTAGGGAAAATGGAAAGGTCATCATAGCGGTTGTTCTCGTGACTGATGGTTCTGGAGATAAACTTTTGCTGTCGAAGGATCTAGTCTTCGCATCATAACCAAATATTGTGGGTGTTTAATGCTGTGCCTGGAGCAGTAAAACCATTGGGCCGCTTCTTTTCTTCTGATCCTCGTTCATGAGACTAGTGAAGACACAAGCACCGTCATTTCGTCATCGGCGATTCACCGCCTGGTATAGTTCCCTCGAAGTAATTTTTCGATATTTTTTTGACATATGTTGAGCCCTTATCTGCCGTTTAATCCCCGAGTCACGCTCTGGTCCGTGACCTTTGAGAACGACGAGTTCGATTGGAGGACGCTTTCTGGTTTGTCACCCGTTATCCAGATAAGTTGTGTTTGTGGGTGTCCCTATGGCACCCGCCTGATATAGTTTATAAAAAAAAAACTAAATATGAACCGTTATCAATTGATGCCTATCGTTGGTATGTTTAATTATTTGTAAGCTTTCGTGCGCACGGAGAGTCGAATTTCTGATATTGATGTTGAGAAACAAAAACTGTCTTTTTTTTCGGGGACCGTAACAGACTAGCATCTCAAAAATAACACGTTAAAGTTCTGTCTAATTCTAAATTCTCCTTAAGATTATTTTTTCCTTGTAAAAATATATACATTTTCCTGTTCCCATTTTTTCTCCTTCCTACAGATTCCCCTGGTGGAGCACACGTCTCTAGTCGAGCATAGGCAATTTCCCGTGAATAACTTTTTGTTTATTAGTGGCGACCCTGACCCGATTAGTGATTTTCGAGGTGTTTTTTTTTTAAGCAGTGGGTCAACTTTTTTTGTAATTTGGGTGGATTTAACTATTGGACAAACGGATGTTGTTTAAAGTTGTTGCTTAGTAGTGGACTATAATACTTTTAGCGATTAGATTGTTAACAGTGATAATGAAACCAACTAACTAGTATTTTTGCCATTGGCCCCTCGACCATGGGATTCATCCATTAAATTATATAATGTCATTTCAAAATCACCCTGTACAAAGGCAGCTCGACCGGTGTATCGAGGTTAGGTTTTTTTTGCAGCCAAAGAATGTATGCAAAAGGCACAGGATTACGGCGGACTACTCCTTTTGGCGACGAGTTCCGGCGACGAATCACTCATAAGGACGCTAGGCGAAAGTACATTGTTCGAAGAAAAATATAACCTCTCATTTCTTTCGTACTTACTCGTGGGCGACTTGCAAAAGTGTCTCGACATCTTAATCGCTACCGAACGTCTCCCGGAAGCCGCGTTTTTCGCGCGGTCATACTTGCCGGACAAAATTAGTGAAATCATCGAGCTTTGGAAGGCGAAGCTGTCGATCACCAACGAGAAGGCGGGACAGAGTTTGGCGAACCCCAAGGATTACGAAAATTTGTTCCCGGGACTGTCGGAAGCAGTCGCCGCGCAGAAAGTGCTGGAAAGTCAAAATATAAAACTTGCGCCCGCGTCTCAAGCCTTGAGGGTCACTCCTAACCACGAGAGGAACGTTATTGCCGAATGTCAAAGTTTAATGGGCGGGGCAGGACCATCTGCCCTCCCAGCGTCCCAAGATAGGTGAGAAATATTTTTTGTGGTATGTTAACGGCAGTTTGGAAGTGTTTTTTACTCGTAGTAAGCAAACAGTCGGTTCATCATTGGACCAAGACGATGATGATATTGACTTAGATCTTGATGGAGTTAATCTTGATGATAATATAGATACAACCGTAAGTATTATGGTGGAAGGTTATGTGATTTGATTTTTAGAAACAAATTTTTCAGGATATCAACTTGGACGATGACTTGTTGAGCGATTAAAATGTGGAAAATCTTATAGTACTAAATATATTTCCATTCCCGTGTAATTATAAACAATATCGTTCAGGCTATTTTAAGTAGTTGTACGTCGCTCCTTGTTGTATAAAGTATTTTAAATAACACAATAAACTTATTTGCTTTTGTAAGATTTATTTTTTTATTTCCCAAATCTGTGCGGGAGGATAGTACAACAAGTAAGTCCATCAAGATTTTCTATAGCTGCGACTTTTTACTAAAATTATTTAGTTTTTGTGGGTCATTTTTGCTAGTTTCATCCTTTCTGAATTTGATGGTTTTACTTCCATTATTTCTAGGTATTCATTCTCTTGTTTCAATATAACGTGAATAATTAGGATTGGTTGTTACCTTACTAAAAACGGTAACTTGCACTTGGAAAGTATGATCAGCTAGCACAGAGGTTGTTAAAGATTCATGGAGGAGACCTGACAAGCCATTCACAAAATACGAAGTACTCGTTATTTTGTCATTAAAACATATCCCAATGCGAGATTCTTATCACAGCTTTCAAGGTGACAGGTAGAACTTCGATTCCTCGAAGCCTCAGCACTTTTGGACTCTTGAGCAACCAAGTGTTCAGTGATTATCCGGTTTAGCGGTCCTGTTTCTAATACCCACTAGTGGCGGTAAATCGATAGTGTCACCCTTGTATGGAAACCCGGCATATAAACCCTTTAACAGAAGAGGTACCGACGTGGCGTATCTCTTAACATTATTGAGATGTGTGTTAACCGCCGGAACAAATTTCTCTGGATCCTTCTGCATGTGCTGAATGATTTGGTTGCAGTAAGATATCCATTTGTTTTTGGTCGACTCTAGATCGCGTTTGATGTCCAATTCCTCACTGAAATTATCATAATCAGGACTACAGATGGTGTAATCGTCAGCGTTATCCGTTTCTGGCACTGGAAGAAACAGGTTTTTGTTCTTCACTACTCCCACCGCGACGTAATAGTACGCACACTTCTGTTCAAGAGTTAACATCGGCGAGAGAATATTAAATTTCGATATGACTACAGATTGGTGCTCGCAATGTTTACCAGTACTGCCGATAGGGCACGTGCAAATGTTGGTAACCATGTCGACTTTGTAATACTGCTCGGGTACCGTCTTGGTGCTCTTGAAGACATACTGGTGGTTGCCGATATCTTCGCAGTCCAAATCAGTGCTCTGATTGGACATGTAACGTTCATCGATGATGCGACTTCGTTTATTGGTGACAATTTCGAGAAGCCTGTTTGAGTAATACGCCTCGAAACTCGAACACATAAAGTCGGCCAGTTGGGTAACGTTAAACAGCTTGGTCCGCTCCAACACGACGTCCTTGATGAGTCTGAACGTCCGAAACATCGCTTCCGCTTCGTTGTAGTTCAGCGAGTGCGAGTCTTGGAGCATAAAGTACTGCCGGTAAAGTAAGCACCATGTGTCAATGTTGGCGACCATTTTCTCCACGTATTGGATAAACTTGGGCTGGTCCTGGCATCCGACGGACAGCGCTTGCTTAGCGTGACTCAGTGATGCTTCATTATCAGCATAGACCAAGTCTCTGAACAATTGGTAGTAGTGCTGTTTCTGACTCTTCGGGATTTCGTGTTTGGTCCAGTGCAAGAACCTCCAGCAGGATCGCAGGACGTGGTACGAACTCAGCAACATTTTCGAATACGGGAAGTAACGTTGCAGTACGTTTTGTTCAAGGATGTCTTCGTCGGTCAGCACGATAGTGGGCCTTAAGTGTAAAAAGTTGAGTAAACTTTTCACTCCTTCATTGAACACGTCTAATTTCGAACTGCTGCAAATGACGCAGGCGATCGGCAGGCATCCTACTGACGCGAGCGTCAGGAAAAAGTAAATTTTATGGTCTTTGACGTCGCAGCATCCCGACGCGTCCACGAACAGAACCTCCGACATTTGTTTCAGCGCTCTGATCATGAGAGGAGTTTGCAGTACTACCGCGTACTGATCGCCCGCAGTAACTATTTTATAATTAGCTGAGTCATATCCTCGCAATATGGATTCGAGGTTCGTCAATGTGTTCGCGAACGACGCGAAACATTCGTCGAACTTGTTTTTCATGTCGTTCATCTTCCAAATGGTACCAACGTCGTTTTTCGTGGGGAAAAAATGGCGGTCTCGCATCTTACTCGCGTGCTCGTCTCCGAATTCTTCGACTTTGATCGTGTAGTACGTGTGGTACGCGGACGCCACCGAGTGGCCTTTTTTCAGCAACGCTATTATGTCTTGTTTCACATCTCCGCCCACCGGTCTCTGACGTAACGCGTTCTCGTCGTCTATCTCATGGTTGTGTTCGTTGCGGAACTCCATAACGCACGGGTACTTGTCTTGAGCCGGTTTTTTCGATTTGGAGTGCTCGAAAAATTTCTTGACCGTGACGAAGAGCTGCGCAGGACAGTCGAGGTTCCGCGATTTTTTCTGTTTCAATTTCTGCGTCGTTTTTCTCCTGCGCGTCGATAAGTGGCACGAGTAGATCCGTTTGAACGACGTCCTCGACTTTTCCGAATAGAATTTTCGCGTGCAACGCACCGACCACGTCACCTTGGTCGTTTCTTGGATGCTGCTCACTACTTTCTGGAAAGGAGATCCAACGTTAGCGATTTTGATAAAACCTGTTTTATAATATCCATCAGGCTGACCATATACTTTTACGAAATATTAGAAAACTCTTTGCTTTTGGTTAATATCATAGAGAAAACTAATATCAGCTTCACAGTGAGCTACAGGACAAAATAATAAAATAATAAGTACAGTGCTCCTTAATTAATATCCTAGATTAGCCTAGTCGATTTTGTTGCTTTAATTATTTCCACAATACTACTTACTACTACTACAATACTACCTTTTTCCCACGATTATTGTTATTGTTAATCTATTGTTGTTGTTACCTCATTTACTTATTCAATTATGTAATTTGTTGTAAAATTTGTCTTATTTTAAGTTGATTTATGGATTTTTTGACATGCTGGGTTAAATTAACAACTCAGTCGCCCTTCGCCGTGTGAAAAATAAAAGCGTTTTTGTTTATTTATTGTTTTGTTTATTATTTCAAAAATAAAAAGTATAAACTAAAATTAAAAAAAAAAAAAGTAACATCACCAAATCGAACAGTTGAACTTCTATGATGGGTTAAGCTGAATTATAACAACAAAGCTTCCCATATTGTTTTTTTTTTTTCAATGTAAAAAAAACTATATTATATGTATTTGTATTTCATTTATAATACTCTACACACAGAATGAAGTAAAAAGGTTATTGCATATTTGCCTTTTTGTAGCAGTTGCAAAAGTTTAAGACTTACTCTAGATTCTCTAGATAATATAGAGAAGTATCGTATTCAAAAAGTTCAAAACTGCTGTCTTATATGGAGTTGGACGTAGAATTCACGTTTCACCATATCTAATTAGGTTGGGCTGGTTGATATAAACTTCACGCCCTGTTATTCTATTGTAAAATCATACATTGTGCGACACCGCCCTATCTGTACAACAAACCTCTCTCATACCAAATTGCAAGTACGATTAATCAATATGTCTCCTTAATAGACTTTTCTCTGTCGCCATTGGTCCTGACAACTAATTTAAAAATACTAAGCAGGTCACACACATACATACATACATAAAAACACCCAGTATAAAACATAACAATTATAAATAAAACGAGCATTTTGTTTTAAAATAGGGTAGCTTTCTGATTTTTCTGTATCAATCCCCAATACCAAATACCCAATGTTACAGGACGTTAAAAATTCACTATGAAAAAAACGTTGAAAACGTCTATTTAACATGCGCATGTGTAATATTTAAAATCTCGTTTTTTACCAATGACGTTGCTTCATTCGATAACGAACACGGTTGGACAGATCGTGAATAAGTTTGGATGTGGATGTGGCATTTGTACGTATCTCATTAAATGTAAATATATCAATGCTGCCTGCGGCGCATCAATTTTTTTACCGTAATACGCCACTATATTATCTAATAGCTACATGGGCGCAGCTAATTTTGTTTTTTTACGTTGGTGGCAGTTTAACCGTCTACCACGATTTTGAGGTTATATGCCGCGGAAAATTGTAGTCAAACATTTTTAAAGAATTTGGTAATGATTTTATTGATCAAAAACTTTTTGTTTACGTCATGTAACTATATCATATTTGCAACAGTTCACAGACAGCTCTGATGGCTTCTTCCAAGAGATTTGTATGCAATGGGCAACAAATCTAGTGACTTCCATTAGATGTCAATGTTTTTATGAAAAATGAAGTTTGTCTTGTGGAGTTGAGAGTATATTTGAGGTTAACAATTCAGGTTGACATTAATGGTCATGTTTTATTTGCAAGATATTGCACCATGTCAAGCAATGTGATAGATTTATTGCATTTTCTCGACTTTAATACTGTTTATTTCTTCCAATACTTGACAAGTCCTAATTTGGTAACGTCCGTTATCCGTAAATAAATGCATGAAAAACTTCACAGTTATACTTCAATGTTTTTACATTCACTCAAAGTTGACCTTAGAGCGAAGAATGGCAAAAAATATTTTATTAGTAAAAGCAGGCTTATGTATTATGGATTGCTTTAAAATGTAAAAGAAATTAACAATCTTACGTTCACCTTAGAATGTAAAATCTCGTTTTAGTAATACTTCTAGTAGTTTTACTAAGTTAAGCACATTTATGTTGGCTACCAACTTTAACATTAAGAAATCTCCAGATCTTCACCTCTACGTAGAATTCGTATGAGTAAATTCTCAAAATACGCTTTTAGATTTAGCGTAAATCCTTACAAAAAGCATAAAATATCTTTGAAGTGTTCAAAAAAGTACCTCAATGTCTTCTTTGGTTGACACTCCCAGTAGAAAACAATTTGTTTTGAATTTCTTAACGGGATATCCAACTTTTTCCATTACTTCGTCCATTTTTGCCGCCACTTTTGCCAATATGTAACAACGAAACCATAAACCGAAGTCAGGTATAAGCGTAAACGAATGGCCGGGCTCTATCGATCTCGTATGTAGCAAACGAGCCACGAAATACGGGATCTGCCGGTGCCACGTTGCCAAGTCATTCCGCATCTATCTACGCAGATATAAATTTAGCTTTAATTGCTTTGAAACTTCGATTTTTGTCTTGTTGTTTTACAAGTTGTTTGAATGGGTTATGTTAACCATCAGAAACACAAGAATTTTAGTATTTAGGTTTTTTAAATTTAACTTCAAGCATCCTTTTCTAAAAATTGGTGGACGCGCCGGTACAAAATGTTCAATAACCAAATAGTCAGGACCGGCTTTGTAATTAATACAAACCGTAACGCTGCCTATAACACTTGATATTGTCAAACAATCTTAAGCACGGTTTTGTTGGTTAATTAAATAAATTAGTTGCAAATTAATTAAAAAAAAAACAATTTCTAGGTTCACTTTTCAACATTAATGTGTTAATGCGTCACATGATTTGGTGCCATATAACTAAATACACAATTTTGATTACTTTGATTAAAATTTTGAAACCATGCGTAACTTTTAAATACCGTCACATTTTGACCAATACTAAAATGCTGCATTTACGAATTGCTAGGCAAAGTTGACAAATAACTCACCGCACTCTATCCAATTTCGACCAATAGCGAAACGGAATCGGCTGATAAGAAGAATAACATATCGGGCACAGAATCCTTCAACTCCACAGAAGCGAAACAATGAGTCGCTACCTTAGGTCACAAGACCAATTTCTCAAAGTGGGAACTGACACTATTTAATGTTATTACACTGAGAGAAAGTTGTAATAAGTTACGCTGCACATACACTAAAAAATATTCGTTCGATTTTATATAATAAATCAATCTTGCACACTCCTTACAAACCTGTCCTAGTGCTGAAAAGCTGCAGTAAGTAATATTTCAATTTACCATAATTATATATACCTTCTCGGGCTATTGACAATTCTCACAAGTAATTGTTTATTAAGTTCTTTCTTGAAATATCACCGACGACCAATGACATAAATTAAAAATCTTTCGATGAAAGATCAAAAGTACAGCAATTTACAATACAAGTTAAAAAAAATAATACCTCAGCATACAACACATTAATGGAAAGCAGGTATAATAATAAATAAAACTAAAAATTCACACAAGATACACACATAGTTTTTTTTTGTTTTTTTTAAGCATTTTTTAAATTTTCGTTTTAATGACTATTTGTCTATTTTATACAATAAAAAATTCCTACACTAATAAATAATTTTATATATGAAAAAATGTGTTTTCCTACTATTGTATGTTTTCATAATGTGATAGCGGTGTTAATACAGAAAGTTTATTAAAATAATGAATATAATACTTATACAGGGTTGTAATTATAGAGATGGACAGATAATAAAAAATAATAATAAAATAAATGAATAAACAATGATATACAGCAGAGGAACAATATGAATATTGTAACAAATATTATTATTTACAAGAGATATATTATTTACAGCACAACCCAATTTTTGAATTTTGTCGTCATGAAGCCGAAGTGCTGTGATACTTCGTTTTCAAGTTTATTGAAATTTGCACTCTCCACTCACTCCTCTTTCAGCATATTTTTCTGAAATTGCTTCTTAATTAAATGAATGATTTCATTTTTTTTCAAGAGGGTATTTTTTTGTATTTTCTTGAGCTCGCAAAAGATTCAGGAGGATTAAGGATTAAGCAAAGGAAAAGTAACTATAATTCTAATTTTAAAAACTAAGGTACAATGATCATAGGTATATTCCGACACACGATAAATGATCTGATGACTGTAAAAATGGTATTACCGTTTTTATCTGCTCGTGGGCATTTTTGGATCAATCATTCAGACTGCTCCAAAGTAATAGTAAGGAAAGTGAAAAACAAGATACATTCACATTCTGTTGTATAATAAATACGTATTAAATAAAAGGTCATGTTGACGAAGGAACTCTACGCCTATGGAATACGGCTAAGACGACTAAGTTTTACCGTTCAATAATGATTTATAACTCTCTCGGATTAAATAACACAGCATAAGAATGAGTTTTCTTATAACACAAAAGTGTGTATTTTTCTAATTTTAATTTATTTCACTGTTATGAAATGAAATTTTTAGATGTTTCGGGTGACGTGTAAAACCCAAAATTGATTCCAAAACAGAAGGTCGTGCTTGTGCCGTAGAGGGCGTTGTTTAACGTGCATTCTTTTGTGGTACACAAAGGCCGACGTTTATTATTATAAACCATTCGTCATCTTGATAACATTAATATCGTGTAACGTGTGGGTTTTACATGTGCCGCGTGTTTTTTATCGATTGGCAAAAACAATATTTTTACAACCCTTTTACACGCGAACTTAATTAATATAACACTCGTTTTATCGGACCATCGGCGCTTTTTTAATTACGGGTTCGCCACCGGTATACGGAGGAGAGTACGGGTGATCATTCGCGTTCAAAATTCGTGAACCCCTCGTGAAGATTGAAAAATGGTCAGTGGAATTGAAAATTAATTACGTCAGGGATAAACGGGCTGTCGGGTAGGTGTTGGAGTTTTAATTGTCGGTAAAATGCGTTTGATAAAATATATGTATGGAGTTTTATTCAAGACTTTCTCTCCAGGAGGCATTTAGATAATAATTGCACACTGCAAATTGTTTAAAATGTTTATTAAATGTTGAAACACATATAATAAAGATCTTTATCATTATTCTATTTTTATTATTATTATTATTATTATTATTATTATTATTATTATTATTATTATTATTATTATATTTACACTAATGCAAATAACTGATAATTTCCAGTGAGCAGTCGATATCTATCTGTTTATTTTTAATTTAACAGTCTGTAGTATAGGTATGCAACCAAACTGGCGTCTGAAGTTTGGCAGTATGTTTTTGACACTGCACAGAACAGCTCTTATCAAAACTAATTTCTGTGAGAAGGCTAGAATCAGTTATTATAGTGGAGATTAGCAATAGAGAAAAACGTAATGAAAAGAGCGTGACGGATAAAACGTGAAAAATGAGTGTACAAACTGCTGCAATAGTTGCGTATCTGTTTAGTGTGTGTCATATTGAATATAATAAAAGTAATTTTCATGTTCAAATTTGATTAGTTTTTTGGGATGTTTGGAGTGTGTGCAGCTTGGACTGGACCGTTTACACTTGAGTTTCAAACTGGTTTGTTGTTCCCATTCCTAACAGGTTGGCAATTGTCGGGGTAGAATGCGGATAATTTACTAGCAAATAGTTGGCACTTCCGTGTAATACAACTTCTGTACGGTTTAAGGTAATATTGCTATATTTTCGTTGCAAAAGTAAAAAATTAAAGCACATTTTTCAAGTATATCAAAAATGGATCCCTCAGGTGAATATGAATATTTCTATTTCATCTCAAACTAACGAGGCCTATTTGAAAATTCTTTTGGAAGACGGAATAAGACCACAGAGTCAGAGATTTCTGAGAGAAATTGTGCCCCAAATTAATGAAAGAAATAGAATAAATGGGTGAATTCTTCTTAAACCATAGAAATAAATATTTATGAATACTTTTATTAAAATTCAACATAATGAAATGTGTATACCTCTAACCTAAACTAAAAAGTCTTTTAGCTTTCATTCTTTCTTTATTCTTCAAGATTAAGTTAATCGCTACATCTTCGTCCGGATTGTGGAAAGTTTCTTAAATGAAATAAAATATAGTTTATTTCGAATTATTTTTTAGTGATAGGACCAAATAAATTAGCTGAATCTAGTTGTATTTACATGGGCACAAGAACTGTTGTATGATTGTAAGAAACAAGTCCATAATTTTATGTTGAAACACAAATATGTTCAAGACAAGCATTTTTCAATTAAGATGTTGAGAGGTTCAGTAAGTAGTAAGTTTACTAAAGAGGGATTCAGGGATTTAATAAAGAAGCTTGATATTCTGCTAGGAGAATCAATGCTATCATTGATTGCAGTGCTATCAGTAGATCGAAAGGGTAATCCCGGTTTGTAAATCTTAGGAAGTCCATAGCAACGAGGAATTTTAGAGTGAGGGGTGACAGTTTTTTTCACGGATTCTAATAGAGAAGAAGCTTTAATAGCAGACTGCATGATATTATTTCTTTTATATGCTTTTAAAATTACTTTAATTAGATTTACTAGATTTTTGTGGCCTCATATCGAATTTCATTAGTTGTTTAAGATGGAACTTTGTTTAGGATAGATTTGATATTTGAAGTGATTTCTTCCTTTGGGATATTCCACGGGAGAAGGACAAAGTTGGAACCTTTGTCAAGAACTGATTTTCAGTCTCAGAAAGTATGTACGAGGATACATTTACCGCAGTGTTTGGTGGTTGAGAGTTTGATAGTTTCACTTGAGTTGAAGTTAGTTGTTAAAATTTTCAAATGTCATTCTATATTCTATAGGAGATAAACGCCCAAAAATGTATGTGTATATAGTGAGTGGTTTGTTGGTAAACTTGATTTCATTATATTAACAAAATTTTCGATCTCGCAATTCTACTCGGGTTTCTTTTGAATTCCAGAAATGTATACACCCGAATATTAGCGTGCAGCTCCGGCGAAAACAAAAATAAACACTTCATCCGAATTAAGGCGTGCATGATCCTCATTGCGTCAGTAATCGCAGTAAATTAAACAGCACTTTTATGTGCTTCGGTATCGTGTATCTACGCACAAAAGAGACGGTAAGAGAACAACGGCAGTAATATCTTTGGACGGGCAAAAGTGGTTCGAATCACGAAGATCCACGCCGCAATCCGAAATAAAACAACAAATATTTATGATGGATCGGAATAAAACAATCGTCAATAAGGTTGTTGTCTTTCCACCGATTTAAATCTGCGTGGGTTGTTTAGATCGGTTGGTTTATATATTATACTTGGTTTATATATTATATATTATACTTATTATAATTATACTGTGCACTTATAAATTATGGAACAAATTCTTGGACTTCAAGAAAAATATTC